TGCCCAAGATTCACGTGGGCTCGGAGCACCTCCGCCTTCTCGCGATTAGTGATCTCCTCCGTGCTGACATACACCTCATTCTCATCCTGGTTGTCCATCCGAGTTTGAGGAGTGAGCACTGGCCATCGGTAGATAACCACCAGGGCCTCGAAGTTTCGATAGCCAGGAGGAAGAAAGCCGCTGCTGCCACTCTCCAACCAGGTCCATCCATTGACGCTATCCTTGGCTGCCATCCAGCGGACATTCCGGTGTCCTGGTCTCACACATGGCACCACTGTCTGACCTGGGTTGAGGGTCAACAACATCACCTGCCCGAAGTAATCACGCCAAGTCTCAGGTCGTTCATGCTCCTGTGCTTCTCGAACCAAAGCATTCAGCTCCACTGTTTCGGGCAAGAAGGAGCCTTGCGTCTCGAGCTTGCCTTCTGGCAAGAACTCCTCAGCATCAAATCCACCTGGTAAGGTCCAGGGGACATCGTCTAACTCCGTGACCCCGTCATCACACAGATCGTAGTAGTGTTCGGTATTCCCCAGGGTCCGGTCGATCGCCTCCAGAAGGTCCTTCTTGGTCGCCTTGTCCAAGGTCACCTCGTTGGGGTCCAAGTCATTCTCCTTCAAGTAGCCCACAAAGTCTTCGGTGAGTTCTTGAATCACCAACGTTCTCATCGGTGCTTGCAGATCATATGGTCGAGTTGGGCGGTGGTCGATGTCGAGCACATTCCAACGTCCTTGGCCAGCAGGAGAGGCAATCACGCGGACACCCAACGGGCTAGCACACGGGACGGTAGTGTTCAGAGGTACCACTGTTCCCTGGCACCAGTAGGCAAGGCATCGCTCGGGGTGCACAAGTGTAGAGAGCCCCGATATCTGACCCAACATCTCACGTATTTCAGGTTCTGCCACCCAGCCAATCAGGCTGAAGCTTCCGGTCGTTGTGGTTGTCGTTGGTGGGTCAGTTGAGGGTTGTATCCACCTTGGCGACAGTGCTCCTGAAACACTTCGTTCCACTCGGACTGCAGAGTGAGGTCCCCGCATCCCGGGCATCGATAGGCCACCCTGTTGAAGTGCATCACCGTATCCAGGGCTTCCTGTTGGCAATGGAGGCACAGCTTGATCCGCAGGACCAACTCCATCTCCCCATGTTGTGGCCAGCTCATCGGACACCCGGGTCGGCCCCCGCTGCATCGCCACACATACTTGCACTCCCGGGGATTGAACATCAGGTTCAGGCAACAAGGTTGCGGTGCTTGACGTGGTAGTCGCCGGGAAAGAGGCAGTGGTGGCACCATAGAGCTCGTCCCCGGGGTCAACCGTTCTTCTTCATCTCCTTTTCGGCCTTCTTCTTCATGGGGGTGACATAGTTCGGCTCCTGAAACATCATCCATTGTTCCACTCGCTCATCCGGCCGATGTCCGACTTGGGCACCTGTTCGATCGCCCCGCAGGTCTGGCGTCGAGTCCAGGCCCAATCCGAATTGCAACCATGCTTTGTGCTGCGGTGGGCGCGCGCCGCCGAAGCTCGCAACACTGGCGTCAGGAACTTGCTTCTCCCCACATGCTCCACACGTGGTCGAAGCTCTGCTGCCACATCGTCTCGAGGTAGCAGCACCGGTGCAACCTGGGACGCCTGGGCTCCAGCTGATCGTAGTAGCTCTTGTTCCTGTTGCTGAAGCACCAGAGCACGACGTTCCAAAGCTGCGCGCTGGGCTGCCAGCCGGCGCACGTCCCTGGTCCCAAACTTCGCTCTTGAGGAATTCATAGTTTGCGGGAATGGACCAATGACCATCAAACTCACAGATACAGACCTCGACATGTCCACTCAAGCGACGCTTCATGTACTGAAAGGCATGCATCTCCGTGTAGACAGCCAACAAGTTTTTCATATCTATCACTCCCCCAATCTGAGTCAGCAGGTAGGCGGGAAGCAAGCATGGTACTGTACCTGGCACAACCTGAACACGAAGAACTCCAGCTTTGCCTCCCAGAGCTATGGGTACATACGCGATACGAGTGACTTGTCCTGAACCGCAAACCCCTCGAACTGTGCCACCCTCTTCTTGTGTATACTGAACACGGAGCTTGTATGTTCTCTGGAGATAACTATCCAGTTTGGTGAGGGTCTCTGCTCCGATAAGACCATGTTGGGCAGCGGTGTCAACAAGAGCACATCCTGGGGGTTCGTCACTAGAGCTTGCAAAGGTATACGTCAGGTAGGCGGAACGCACATATTCCTCAGCAGTGAAGGAGTGATCGAAGTCTTGACAGCCAACCCTCTCATGGAGCTGGTCGCTGCTCTCGCTCGGCTGGCAGTGAACCTCTGGCTCGGGTTCCTCTGGAACTCGCTCTGCTCCAGACGGCGAAGTGAAAGTTGAAAAGACCTGGCTCGTTTCAGCCGAAGTGCTCCAGAGGTGCTGGCCGTCTTGGCCGGACTCGTAAACCGGCTCGTTCATGAAGAACATGTTGGTGGAAGGTCCATTGCTTCGGGGAGCCGGAGATCCTTGCCGCGGAGAAGGCACACTTGGCGGTCGCCGGCGCTGAGGGCACTCTCTGGACCAGTGCGCAACTTGATGACATTGGTGGTAAGGGCTTTGGGCTTTCAGATCCTGAATGGAGGTGCGAGGAGCTCGGTACTCCCCTTGCCCCCACCAGTTCTTCCGGTGAAGCCGCGAGCGGTGCGGGCATCTTGAAGGGCCTTCCGGTGATCGGCGTAGGTGCCATAGACGCCGAAGCCACGGTGACCTTTGCCGCTGTCTTTCCCTCGGCCTTTGCTCTTTCCTTTGCCCTTCTTTCCTTTGCCCTTTGACTTCGCCTGCCACCTCTCAGACGTCTTGCCATAGACGTAGCTCATCAAGTCTCCGGCATACTCGATCGCCTCGGACTCCTCCATGATAGCCGGAAGTGGCTCTTCCAAACACAGGTAGACATCGCCGCTCTCATCCATCTCCATCAGGTCCTCGAACAAGAAGGGCTCGGCAGTCAGGTCGCCGTAGTACACGTCTGTCTCCTCATTCCACTCGTCAACGGCATCCTCTTCCTCGTCCCACCAGTAGGCCCGCTTGCCGTCGGAACAGTATCCAACGTGTCATTGAAGATCTTTCTGATAGCCGTCTCCACCAGGCGGAAGTCGATGGCCCCATTGGTGAGGACACGGATGCGCTGTCGTTTATCCTGAGTGAATCCCCCTTGTCGGAGGACGAGGTGTCCCAACAAGTGCTGTCCAGCGTCTGAACTCAAAAGGTCCAAGCCCTGCTTCTTGAGCTCGGCAAAGGCTGCCTTCTTGGTCGCCAGGAAGCCCGTGAGTGTCTGCCCCTGCCGGCGTCTGCCGCCGAAGATGGCAGCATTAAAGGCCTGCTCCAACTTGGCCACCTTCAAGTACTCGTGGGCCTCCTCAATACACTTGACCACGAGCTTCCATCCATCTGGGGCCGTGATCTCCTCCACGCTCAAGTGGGCGAGCACCGAAGAGAGCCTGGACCCATAGGGAATCGAGTCCAGGATTCGTTTCCCTATGAGGCTATCAGGGAGACGCTCCTGAGCCTCAATAAGCCATAGCCGCAATGTTCGCGCACACTCTCTGTACTGTTCTTCTGGCTTCTCACCGTCCCACCGAGGTGCGGCCTCCATGCGATAGTCGGCGAATCTGCGGCCCGGTGGTCCCACGGAACCACCTGACCCATCAAGGCCCTCAGCCCCAATGGCGGTCTCAGCAGGTGCAGCGTCTGCTGGGGAACGAGGCCGGATCGGCGAAGACGGGTCCCGGTCTCGGCTCCTCACTTCTGCTCCCGTAGCCATGTCCACGCGTTTGGGCTCGTCTTACTCTTCTCCTCTACCTCCACTCTCTCTTGCTTCCAAAGGAAAACTTCCCTGGGACGCCCAGGTACACAAAACTTCCCTCGTCGGCCTCCAGGACCGAGGCAAAAGTAGACCGCAGCCACCTCGCTGCGAAGGAAAACTAAATCACCAAACCAATCTTTACACACCACTCTCGGAAAACCAATGAACTTTTAAAAGCGCTCGAGGCAAACGAAGTCCTGGAGCAAGTCCTTCTCCGTCCGGAGAATCGCACCGTCGAGGGCTCCAAGGGCCTCGAGCTCACAAGGGCGTCCCCTTGTCAATCGCCAGGAGGTATCGGAGCCCCAGTCGTCACCGGAGCTCCGCTACCATGTAATACGCAGCACGCTCCTAAGCTGGCTAAAGCAACTTTTCCTAGCGACTCAAGGCGCCTGCAGAATCTGCGTCTGTGCATGTCCAAATGGCAAGGCAACACTGCTCCTATGTGGAATCTCTCACCGCACTAACCAAGCAAACAGACCTGGGCTGATGAAGACTAGTTTCACAGGTATGTTGTGAACTGTTGTGCACATGCAACTGCTGCTCATGTGGACATTACCTGATCTCCGCCTCCGTGTCAACGGCCCTATAGCTAATCTTCCCTTGCTGCCACAGGGGGCCCAGCTTGCAGGCACGTCAACCTAGCGTCCCAGGTTGATATCACCATGCTGAAGGAGCGTCTTCGTTGAGTGGTGACTGCAACAGCATGCACCACTCCCCTGCACTTGTTCAAAATGCTTGATCACAAAGTCGGTAAAAAGCCATGTTCTAGGGAAGTTCTCTCTCTCTCACACACACAAACACACACTTGACATACACATTATCAAGATGTAGCCGCGTGGAGACCCGGTAGGAACTGACGACATGACGACTCTTCTCCCATCCTTTTGCGAACATAGAGGAGTTGGTCAAGGACCGAATCCACATCCAGCTTCACCTCCTGCGGTGTGAGTGGCCGACGCACACCGGCGCACGCATCTTTGTCCAAGAAGGCCTGCGTCTTGCGCTTTTTCTGCGATGGCTCTTTCTCATCCTCCATGATCAAGCCGCCTGTTTACCCTGCGGGCGCCAGCACGATCCGAAAATGAAAGCTGCAGGCTTTGACCTTGCCTGTGGGCACGGGCCTGGCTGAGCCCGAGGACCTCACCTTGAGCCCTCGCAGCTGCGCGGTTCACAGTTCCTGCCTGCCTGCCTATACCCAAGATTTAGCTTTCGCACCTGGCACGTTCGCAGCACTCTGCCAATCCCCGTCGGTGCACTGAGATCATCTGAGATCAGAACCCTCCTTCTGGCAGCTGTAGGTGTAGGTCTCGGCATTCATCAGACCCAGTCAGTCGCATCGTGAACTGGCACTGCCATTCGCTTTAAAGCTGACGGTACGCATTACTCAGTGCTGGGGGGCAGGCAGTAGTTGACAAATCGCCTGCCTGAAGGCACTGGAAGCTTACACAACCTCCCTGCGGTTGTGAAACAGCAATGAGCCAGCTGCAGGGTCGGAAAAATCCCGGGATTCAGAGAAGTCCACAACGATCACACGATCCCTGGTCATATGCTCAGCTGCATGCATTGGACGTGACATAAGACGTTCAAGTCTAAGGCTAGTCTGGTGGGTGTGACCGGCCTGCGAGTTGAAAAGCCGTTGCCTCCGTAGTATTCAACCAAGAGGTCGCCAAGTACCTTTCATGGCAGCACATGGCAGCAGCACCACGAACCCCATGCAGTGTTTTTGCTACTGCGGCGCACCGCTTCTACTTCTACGCTCACTGCGTTTTGAAGTGTCTCTGTGAGGTTGTTGACTGTGACCTCTCCGGGGAAGTATAGCGCTTCGTTGGCGGTGCTCATGACGACGCACAATCAGAACATGCCTGGGCGTGGACAGTAAAGATGTAGGTCTCCAGCGGCTGCAAGGCAAGCGGTCTAACCTTGGCAATCCATGAACAGACGAAGTGCTCCTTCTGCTTGACGCGAATCGAGAAACAGAGTAAGGGATCTTCTGTGCAGCAGACATACTAAAGCCCGTGCATACAACGACCGGGAGAAGATTCCCGATACTTCTTCGAGGTTGATGCCGCTCCCCCACCTCGGCAGCATGCGGCATGCTGCATCAAGGGCCTACCCTGGCGAGACAAGTGACAGCTGCACCTTTGTGAATAACGAAAAGTACGCACTCTCACACGGCCTAGGCGGGTAGGATCCTCCGAGGAAGGGTGTTTCCGCCAGCCCGTGATGAGCTCTGGGTGTTTTCAAGACTCTTGCAAACCTCCTGGCTTGCTTGTGACCTATGCTTTGCATCTCAGCAGTCACTTTGATCAAGACCGTGCTGTGTATAACAGCGCTTGGCACTGCAAGGGCACATGGATGCGAGTGTGCGGAACTTTTGTCGTCAGGCCACCGCTCTTGCTTCACTACTATACGACCCCATGAAGGTCCCGATCGTGCAGACCGATCGATGCACTCTTTCTACCACGGAGCAGCCTACCTGATTGCTAGAATGCTCGCAGCAGCATGAAGAGCACCACGACGACGTTCACGTTGAGCTGACAACAGCCGGCACAAATGCGACGCGCCTCCTAGCAATTACCAGCAGACATGTCAGCGTCTGGAGGTTGAAACTCAAGGCAGCAGTGTGCGGAACAGCCAATGTCAACGTCAGCCCTCGCGAGGCGATGATAAGCTTTAAACGCGTCATTTGCAGCCGCACATTCGGCATCGACGTGGACAATACACAATCAAACAGTTCAAACTGGGAATGTGAACTTCTTGGTTTTGCTATGCTGCTATGCTGCAACGTCATCGAAGCTTCAGAAGGTGGTCCTGAAAATTTAGGCAGGCGCCGAGATGGATCACACCGGGGACGGTGAGGCATGCAGGACAAACCGTCGGCACAAGAACCACAAGCGCAATGCCAGAAATTGGCGACGCACCTGGATGATTCTTAGGAAGACACGACATGACTTGCCGGAACGTGCCGGAATGGGGTGGGAGCATCCTTGACGCTTTTGGAGCTGTGCGCGCAAACTCGCCGTTGCAAGGTTCCTAATATTCTTGCTTAGGCAGGGGCCGCGATGCCAACAATGCACAGAGGTGCGTACAGACCGTACCACAAAGGAAAGGGCTCGACGCACTCGAGAAATCCAGGGCACCGGCGTACGACAGCCCTCTATGCTGTCTTGCCTGGGCAAGGATCCGGCATCTGCTGGCATCTGCTCTCGCTTGATTGGATAATATTCTATCCCAGCAATATCCCCGCTATGCAGTGCATCAAACTCAGGCAGCGGCAGCAGTGGGACCGTATCATTCCTGTAGTTCGGGGAAGATGTTGATGGACAGCAAGCAAAGCATTGGTAATTTCCGCCTTTTGCACACTTTCCACTCGTACTGGACTGCACCACGTCCAAGTGCTTCTGCGCACCTCGCGGCGCTAGCACTGCACAGCAAGTCTGTCTTGGAACGTTGCTATGGTTCGGTTTCAGGGGAAGGCACCCTTCAAAGAAGATCTCCGATACCAGGGTCAATGAGTTCTCCACCTTCCAGTTCAGAAGCTTGGAAGCTGATTTTGGCTCTCTAATGGACTGCGCCTTGAGCTGCCGGGAATACGACCCATAGATCACCTGAGCGAGTCCGGGCGCAGCATTCGACGGCCGACAGGCTGGTAACTTCCCGGCCATCGGGGGAACTGGTAGCGGCGACACCACCACACCTTGGACATCAGAGTCATCAGAGCACGGCCAGAAAGTCCAGCGTGGCAGCAGCTAAACCGAGGACGGTGCTATAATACGTTGTGTCAGACAAGGCCGGGTTCCAAAAGGATTGCACCTGCTTCCAGCCAAACTAAGAAAGCCCAAAGTCTGGCAAAGGCTCGTTCGTTGAGTCTCCAGCCGTGAGCGAAAAGTTGTACCTGGCAAAACTCACCAGGCTACCTCGACGCACACTCAGCATACGTGCACCGTAGGCGCACGTTGTGTTGCCTTGCATGAGGTATGGTGGAATTCGAATGACCTGTGCTGCCACCTGACGGCATGCTACCGGCATCATAGATCATGGAGCTTCCATTTGCCTGCTCGGACTGACCTCGCCTCAGCTTCTATGGTCAATCTGGGGAACCAGCAGGGGCTTCGGCGGCCATCGCCGATTCCACGATCTGCTGAAGCTGGCGTAGGTGAGGTTCTGGCCTTGGCTGAGATCTCGGCAAGACTCGACAGCTTGAAATTCCCCAAGCACAGGCATGCCAACTACCTTTGCTTCCCACTCGCATGGCTCCATGAGCACAAGACAGAACAAGACCGCGGCAATGCAGTGCATCGGGGTCGCGACCCCAGTTCCCGAAACAAGGTAAACTCGTAATGCAGTGTAAACTGGACTAAGCGAACTGCCAGAACGATCTCTCCCACTCAGTATCAACGAAAGAGTTGCGAATCATGTTTTGGATCCGTGCCGAATCTCCAGAATTGCGTAGCAAGCTGGCGTCTGGCGAGCATGTAATGTTTCGAAGCTTCAAATTCATGTCGTCGAAATCTACATCTGCATGATGGAAACGTCTCAGCTTCCTTTTCGTGTTTAAGCCTAAGGCGTAAGCCTGGTCTAAATGCCAAAGCATCTGCATGAAGTCGTGCACGCAGTTCCTGTTCGGCTCGTTGAGTTTGCGAGACAAGCCCGGCAGCTGTTCTTTGCGACATCAAACATGGACCTCGAGTTGCGGTAGATCACATAGTGCGAGAGCCAAGCTTGCGCAAGCGTTTGCAAAACGATGGACGTATCTTTGACTGATGAAGCGAATAAGAAATTCAGTAGAGGTACTGCGTAAAAACAATGATTATGTCACCTTCTGGGCCAAAACGGGTGGTGCAGGGATACATCTCCGCACTATGAGAGACAGACGCAGATTACAGTTAGATGGCAGTCTATCTGACTCATTGCACGAGACAAGCCGAGGGACAAGCTTAAAACAACAAGACATGTGTTTGCGTCAGGAGCATGTAGAGGACATGGTCTGCATGCTGGAAGACCTCCAACGATCCTTGGATGAAAGCGGATACGGCACCCATGTTTTGCTATGCTTCTCGATGTGCTTTGTGCTTGTGCAGGGGCGGTGCCTCCCGGGCCAAGGCAAAGGTTGTGCTTGGTTTTGCTTGACAGAGCACACGGGCACGCAGGCATAACACATAATGTGAGTAGTATGACAGAGACTTGCATGACCTCATGCCAACTTCACGCCAGCAAGCCCTCCCTCAGCCCTGCCCCCACAATCTGCTGGAGCATGCTAGAACCTTTGACAACACCTGCCAGGGGCTTCAAAAAATATAAACCTATGCTGCAGAAAGCCGCTGCAGCCGGCACAGGTAGCGACCCCAACTGTCTTCAACATGAAATCTTGTCTAGATCAGCTTCGCGTCCTTTGCACTCGCACCGTGACGGTGTCATGCGGTCAAGTAGCTATACAACCGACATATTTATGTAGACACCCATGTAGCCCGGGCATGGAACTCCTTTTCACACTGAATTCTCTGCAAAAGCACGGAACTATCAATGGCAGAGGTGAGTCGGATAAGCTTCTAAAATCTTTCGAACGAAGAAACTGTTGAGGGATGTGGAGGAGTTTGCTGCGAGTCACCGCAGACTGGGCTGATTGATATTGATTGCCAGAGCTTTAAGCAATTGTTTGATGAGAGCTTTCCTGCCTTGAGCAAGCTGAAAGATAGCCGAGCCAGTCTCAAACCCGATACCGATTCCGCATAGAAGTAACAGAATCAGAACCGATCTGTGGAGCAGCTTCACAGAAAGTTTCGAGCACGAAGCCTGGCAACGAAAATTTCAAGCATTAAGTCACGAGTTGCCATGGCGGGGCCGTTGCCTATCCCCGTTCGAGCTGCTGTTTCAGTATAGTTTCAATTGTCTCAAGGACGCAAGCCTCAGATCCCTCGGTTTTTGCATGGCCACGGTGGCCGGCCCGGCGGTCAAGACATGATTCGGCGAAGATCGCCATTGACTGCATATCGGCTCAGTCAGAACTCAGGTGCAGAGGGTGAACTTGAGATGCTGTAAGGTCTAGTTATATATATATACATATATACATATATATATATGTGTGTGTGTGTAAATACATAAATATAATTATATACATATATATATACCCTGGTTTCAATGAGTATCCTATCCATCTTTGAGGATCGAGTTTGTTTTAGATTGCCCAGCCTTTGACATCTCATACTGTGGAGGCTGTGGTACCCGAAAGGCAATGCGCACCGCCACTTGAGCTGTTAAAGGTGGCCGAGTCTTTCTAATCGAGATTTGAAACTTCAAGTTAAGAGAATCCTCCCCTCTCATTTTATCCACAACCGCTGCTCGAGAGTCAAAGAATGGATTTTCCCGACATGTCACATGCGTCCACGAAGACTCCTGTCCTGGATACTTGACGAAAAGGCAATATGGGATTTCTGGAAGCTGAAACAGGTGAAGATTGCCGTTCGAAGCTCGGCATGCGACTTCTCTGGAGTTGTGGAGCTCAGGGCCCACGTGAAGGCACCACGAAAGCCTGAACGGAAAAAAACGGCGCATTTCCAGAAGCTCCCAGTCCCGGCACTGATCCGGCGCGCCGTGATCACGCGATTGCGTGCCATCCAGCACAAGCTCAGTGCACCTGAACACAGCAGAGGTGCGGATACGCAGACCGGCGCCTGTCGTGCAGTGTTGCGCACTAAGCTTCGCACACGTCCATGTATGCTAAGCCACCAACTTCTGCCTGCAGATGCAAGATGCTGCAAGCGCATCGTCATGGCGAACTGTGGAAATTGGAATCAAAGGCGGCAGCCCTCGGAGTTGGGATGTCCAAGGGAGCTTCCACCTGCTATACATAAGACTTGTCGACGAAGTCCGCGAACACTGGACTGAAGCAGCATGCTCGGGGCGGAACAACTGCGAAGTCTGATGATGGCTGTGAGAACTGGTATACCTTCGCGATTCGCGATTCGAAGCTTGTAAACTGTAAAATGATCTGGGAACCGAGTGTAATAAGCTTCGAGCTCCAGCACGGGCTTCCTGCCCTCTGTAAACCTGGTACGCATGATACGCATGGCATGCAGTTCGTGTTCGTGCGCACCTTGCTAGTCTGCTCCCATGAGCAGGCTGAGCCAGGCTGGGGCTTGAGCGGTCCCTGGCTTGATCCGTGCAAGATCTCCTGGAGAAATCGTTGACCTCGGGTCCGCTGCCTCAGCCTCTACATAACCCAGCCGCGTCCCCCAAGCTCCAGCACGCAAGTTGAATCTCAACATAGAAGTCCGCATCTGTGATCCATTGGCACCTCCGACACATCATTGCTGGTCGGTCAAAAGCGCAGGGATGCTTTGATTTTAGGACAGCGCATGCTCCCCGGAATCAGTATCATGGTGAACCGGTCGATGAAATCCTCGCAGGGTCCGCGCGTAGCCTTCAGCCAAGCAACAGTTCAGCTCTCACGAGCAAGGGTATGGAGAAGTGTCCAGCACTGTTTATGGGAGGTCTGCAAGCGCAAAGCCAGTGGGCCTTGTCAGCCTCGTTGTAGAAATCGGGTATGTCGTCTCCATTCGTGTCAATGGGGACAGCACCACCTGATGTGTTGTCGACTTTGCTTGACCAGCTACCACAAAGCCTCAGGCACCCACGCAACGTAGCAACATCGAAAGACAAGAAGAGCTTTGTGCCAGCGGAATTGAACCTTGCAAATCAAGGTCGGGCTCCATGTGTCGACACTGCTGTCTCATCACCCTGCAAGCCATACCTGGCATACTGCAGAGCTGGAGGGTACAGCGCGAAAATGATCCTTGCAACATACTCTTGCGCAGATACTTGCACATACTGGAGAAGATGCACCCACAAAGCAGCGAGTCCTGGGAGCAGTCTGGATCAGCGAGGAAAAGACAGCATTGTCGGGTAGCGTCTCCTCGCACACAAGTACTGGTCCATCACCACAGTTCTCTGCGTCATTCGTGACCGCAACATGCTACCGAAACGGGTTTGCAAAGACTTGAGTCCTGTGGCCAAAGCAGGTAGTCTTTGCCTAAGCCGTTTGCATCAGCACTGAATCAAAACTGCGCTGAAACACGAGCTCGTGGCTGTTATGCTGGTACTCCAAGATCCTTGGAGTACCTGTGGGCTCCTCCTTGAATGTGAACCAAGCCTCAAACAATTGCAGCACTCAGTCACAGGTAGTACAACAATGTGCCGGTCTCGACGCATCACTGAGGCCGGCAGCAAAGTTGAACTGGTGATCAATGGCAGCCGACTGCAGGTACATGTAGTTGACCTCAGCAAACGGACAAGCCGGCAGTGGCTTAGTGGACACAAGACACCGACTAACGCACCTCTGAAGGCAAGCCCCCCAGCTCTGCCAACGTGCAACCTGCCACGGAGACCACTCAGGCACTGAACGCTCGTTCAAACAACTGCTCGGGCATTGTCGCAGACCACATGAGATGCCGACTAACGAAGACTTGAACAGTCGTAACTCCGCCAAAAGTTTGCGTCAAGTTGGCAGCTGTACCTGGTGCGCATGCCCGAGCCATCCACTCATCACTTCACCACCCTCCCGTCGCTGTCCCTGAGACTCTCGCACAGATGATAGTAGGCATACTGGTCATTCAAGTCCGCACCTTGCACTGAGCTCGAGCCCTGAACGAATTCCACGAAAACACGCTGAAGGCCCCATGTAAACACCCAGCCTGCACCGTACAACTCGTGCGTAAGGGAATTCATCTGAAGATTCATTAACGTCACTGGCATCACCTCGCCTGCAGGGCAATTGAGCTGCATGCTGGCAATGTGCACTCAAAACAGACTCAGAACCCGCTGCGAATCTGAGGCAGAGACTCGTCAAGACACGCTTCATGTCTATGTCTATGGCCACGACAACATGCACGACCTCGGCACGACCAAGCTCGGACCAGAAGACGACAATTTGTGCATCAAGAAAAAAAGGCCACGGCCTGTGTGGAGGAAATCCAAGCTGCTGGAACCACCTCACAGACAGGGCTGGGACTCTTGAAGGCTTTTGCTGGAACAGCCGCCCACCGTGTAGTACGTGCCAAACAAGACGTCAACTGTGCCCAGCCCCTCAACCGATGCCTGCCAGCAATTTCTGTGCTGAGATGCTGTGATCTACACAGATGCCCGGGCTGCCGCACCAGCCCGTCACGAACCAGCTCACCGTTCGCCACTATTTGGTCCTGCCACAGGCTCGAGGCACGCACAGGACGCTTCCCGATCACTTGACATGCCTCAATCGGAAAATGGCTCTGTTGCACTTCAAGTCCAGATGTGCCTGAGCTCACTCGGGATCTTCGTATGCAGTTCTCGGGAAATCTTTCGACCTCAAAAACCTCCTGGGCCAACACTGGAGTTGAAGGTAACCTTGGCTTCAACGATTTTCCGCTTGGTGACACATCTGAACATCCCCCTCTTGCTGCCAAAGTGCCACTGTCAGGTCCAAAGTTCCGCCCCAATCGGACAAAGACAAGGCCACCTGCCGGTCGGGAAATGCTTTCTTCGAGTCCAGCTGGCGAAGAAGAGCTGCCACTGCTCAGTGCTTAGGGATCGTCATGATGAGGCTGGGGCCATGCGACTCTTGCCAAAGTCCCAAACCGCGTTGAAGACCATGCGACTTAGCGACAGTTCCAGACACGGCGGTAAACAGGCGAGATGTGTCCAGCATACAGCGCCACCTTTTTCCCCAGCAACACCGAGCTGAGCCGCACACTCCAGGCGGGTGTCATAATCGAATTGCGGGCGGGACTGACAAGGCCAAACCAAGCTTCAATCTCGTTTCAAAAAGCAGCAGAAAGTCTGGCACACTGGTGTTCCAAGCTAGCCCCAGGCTAGCATGCAGCAAAAGACGGCACGCTCCTCCAGAGGGTTCACGGCATGAATGTAGTTCCTCGGTGGTCTGGCAGGAAAATCACCTCCCCAGCGCCTTGTTACTTGCGTTGTCAGGCGATGGATAGCACAAGGCAAGCGCCGAAGCGGAGGATCGGCCGGCGATGGCAGCCGTATCTGCAGCAAAGTCTTCTGTAGCGTTCATAGCCACTTGCTGCGCCCAGCCATCGTCTGAGATTTTCCTTCACGTGCTCTCACTTTCTTCTGCCCCTTCGGGAATGTTTGTTGCCCACGTGCGCTCATTGTGAATCACACCGTCGGGGGGGGGGGGGGGGGGGGNNGGGGGGGGGGGGGGGGTGGGGCACATCTTCGTCTTGGACGGAACAGAGATCGACAACTTGAACTTGAACCACGCATGAAGAGAGGGTGTAGGCAGTGCTGCCTTCGCTGTGCAACCCCTTTCCCAACCCATGGCATACTCATCGCATGGTCCAGCTCTCATGTCATGGGCAACTGCAGCACGCGGCCACAAAGCGTCATGTACCCACGACTTCTGCCTTGTCGTTCGCCCAGAGTATTCTATGCTTGAAACAAACTCTCCATCTTGCTGTTCACCAAAGCATATACTGGCGGAGGTGGATCCCGACCCCCTCGCTGTCCCCAGCTGCACGGTTTTGCAGAAGCATGAAGCTCCGGCATGGCCGCCATCAATCGGTGAACAGACCAGAGCAGAAGCAACGCAGGGCCCCAGCGCTGCCCCCTCCCATCTGACAGCCTTCCCAAGAGCACATGCACGGAGCATAGAGAGCCGTTGGAATGCTCAATTGAAAAAAGCCCTCATTGCTACTCGGCTACTGAGTACTGTAGCGGCTACTGCCTCTAGTCTTCTTTTTAGATTGAGATGTCATTGCTACTCTTTCCTGTCTTCTGTTTAGGCATCGGTCTTGCGGCCTCTCTGCATTCTCGTGACTGAGGTTCAAGCTGTGACAATGGAGTACAGAAGCCGGCGGGTGACATCGTATGTGGATGGCCTCAGCTGAATCATAACACGTCATGCAAAGACCGCCGAGACAGGAATGCGCCACGAAGAAGTCAATGGGCCGCGGGGCCGCGCCGATCGACACAACAGGTGAGCCACCGAGCGCGCCGCGACATAGACGACCGGTAGTCAAACTGCCTGTACACCTTGGGAAACGTCAGTGCTGCCATCATTCCGCATCTATTACGAAACAGATTTGCAAGCGGAACTTTGGTCGCCTCCCAAGCTGTTGTAGTGCACTCGCCCTGCACCTGCTCCAGCACTACCGTATGGCCGTATGGCTTCCCACTACATAGTGGGTGCCGCTCTGTAGCTTCCGCCCAGAGCTCAGAAACTCAAGTGTCATCTAGCCTCGATCATTGGCAGCGCGGTCTCATCTAAACCACACCGGCATAAGGGCAGCCGAAGATATGCCTCAGCAGAAACCCCGTGGCATGATGCCAAGCCAATGATTTTGAACTCACAGTTATCTCAGTTAGTCTATGTCGGTCATGCTAGCAGCTAGCACGGCGGCCGGCCTGGGTCCCGTTGCAGAACTGCACACACTCCGTCGCAGTCAGCGTCTCGCCGACACCTGGCGCAGTCTGGAGGAACATCGCACAGGATCACTACGGCTGCACGAAGGTCCAGCGGCCAATCGCACATTGAAACTTGGGCGGGTCCACGCTCGGCATATGCTAGTGAGCTTGCCTTGGGCCGGACAAAAACGGTAATGCTATGTCCAAAGAAAGCCATCAATCTAGGGAACACCATGAAGCTCTCAAGCCACAGTCAAGTCAGCTGACAAGGCCACACATATGGAGATTAAAGTAAAGGTCATGGCAGAACGCAACACCAGGTTGTTGGCAAGTGTGCCCTTTCAGCGATGAAATCCCGCCCGTGACTGCAGTAGCAAGAAACGAACAAAGACAAAAGCCAAGAGACCGATTTCAGGCGCAAGCAGACTGTAATGCATCAGAAACAGGAAAGAGCCACGCTTGCCCCACAGGTACAATGAACATGCCCGGTTACTCCCTCACTCCATCGGGTCAGCACTTCGTCTGCCGCATATATGCAGAAACATATTTCAAGACATCTACATAATAAGCAATACAGAACTAGTACAAAGACACTCATGGTGTATCTCCTTCCGGCTGACTGAGGGCAGTGAACCACCCGCATGCTGAGGCGCCGGCCCACTGCACCAGGAAGCATCCGATGCGCACGTGCCGGAACAGGTTCCAGCCTGCACGAAAAGCATCGAAGTGCAGCAGAGGCAAGAAGCAGCCAGCGGAAGAGAGGTGGAGAGAGAGCGTGAGAGAAGGGAATGCAACGGCCTAGTCTGACACACACCAGGACTTCTCACACCATTTTTCGAGACAAGTTTCGTGTCTGTTTATGTTAGTGCGACCTGCTCATCCTCAGACAAGTGTCACACGAGAAAAGTGCAGGGCCTTAGTGATAGCCTGGTTTGCAAGTGTTCTCTTGGAGACCGTAGGAGGTTCCCCAAAGCACAGACGTTTCAAGGAGTTAAATCTTGGGCGGAATTTGGGACTTGCTAGCTGCAACTTACATGATGGACTATGCTGACTCCGCGGCCTTCCAAAGGGCTGTAGTTGAGGTCGATTTTCGCCTGGGCTGGCGATGCTTGCGGCACTGCAAAGCTGAAGGAACTAGGATGCAGGTCAAAGTCTTCAGTCACCTGATGCCCTAACTCCAGGTTCTGAGGCTCTCCGAGTGTCGAGGCCCAATAATCGTCCACGTGGGTCGAGCCATACTCCGAGTTGTTGAAGTCAATCACCTGCAACAGTCTTAGCCTCACCATGACTGCCAGCATCGTCGTGACCACTACTCACAGATCAGACATTGTCTTCTTCCTCGCAATCGTCGTTCAACCATCAATGCTATCGTGCCACGGCCACTCTCGGCAAACTCTCTGCCAAGCAAGCACTCGGCAGCACGTCTAACAAGCGAAGCAACGTCAAGAATGCAAACCAGAACTGCGCGTGCCACCCGAGTGGGGTCGTTGAGAACCAGAAGTTGCTGCTCGGAAAATACTTCGAAGCCATGTGCAACCTGAGAGGCGACAAGGTTCCACAGGCAGTTCATGCAGTGTTTATGCCTCAGACTCAGGTGCCAACACAGGCGACGATGGCCACGGAGACGACTGCCGAACACTTTTTCCTCCAGGAAACGTATTCGACACAGGTTCAGGAGAAAAGTACAGCTTGCTGCCAGTACGGAAGCACAGGCTTTTCTGCTTTGCATACGCGCCATCCCGCATGAAGCATCTAGAGTTTACAATGTGCATGGAGCTTAGCTCATACGGCCGGTGCCAACCTTCAACATGTACACTCCGCAATCCGAGCTTGTCGACCCGGATAGCGATGGCCCATCACTTGGGGCTGCGCTGGGAAAGACTGATGTGACAGGCATCTTCGTGGGAAGAGACTTTCTTGCCTTCTCCATGCTCTCCGTCTGAAATGAAGGTGAAAGAAATCCTGGACGTGAGCACTGCAGTGCTCCTTGCAGTCAAAACTTCGCATCCTCCATACTGACATGCCATGCTGCTGAGAGCGCATGGGCTGCACTTCATGCCCCAATTGTACACGCCGTCAAAAGCGACGGCCATGCGCGCTCAATCTTGCACATGCACTGTACACGCCAGCGCTTGCAAAACACGGCAAGACTGAGTCATCTTTCTTTGTGATCTTGCGATTCAGATCATACAAGCGCTGCAACGCACCTCTCGCATCAAGGTGTCTTGTGTTCCCTTCATTCAACTTGCACCATGCACTCACTTGCACCATGCACTTCTGAACGTGGACAAACTGCCGTGACTTCAACAAGAAGCTGCGCCAAAACCATGGCCGCAGTGGCTCCGTTCTCGCGCAACTATGTGATCACATTGCGGGCTCATTGCTTGTCCACTGGAGGAGCATCTCAGTGAGTTGCTCGCAACTATCAGAGAGGTCTGCAAAAACTCGGCAAAACTGAACACTGCTAAAGAGTCTGTCCTGACTCGCATTGCAACCAGCACCATTGGCCATCGCTCTGTGCGGTCCATCTGGGACGGACACGGAGCTTTCACGGATACAGGCCGGCCTTCTAAGTGTGATATAACAGTCGCTGGCATGATGCGTTTCCCGGTCCTGAATCCCAAGTGCTGAAAAGAACATAAAGGAACGTCGGTTGAGAAATCAGTAAAGCAGAAGGCAGCACGTGACGACCTGAAAAGCGCACCACTACATAAATGAGTTCTTCGTGTCCTAGAGGAAGTCCCAGAGACTGCTTCTGCAGGTCATTTGAAGACTTCGGAAGCTTGAAAAAAGACGAACGAAGAGACTGCATGCTGCTGTCTTAGGGCTATGCGTATTTTGGCCCTGGTCACCAAAAGTCAATATCAAAGACAAAGGCGGATCTCCGATCTTTGTCCACCCCACATCTCCAGCAGCTTAAGGGCGCCAAAATCGCCACTTCGTCACTTCGCTGCCTGAATGCACATGGCAGCATTCGGGACAGCAGTGGAGCATCCCCTCCCCTCCCCCCCCCCGGCTCTATCTGCCCAGCCTTTGAAGGTTCCTTTGGCCCCTTTCTCGTCCATGAGCACGACTCCTGAACAGCAGGCCAGGTGTTGCAGTCCACCATCCACTGGCTGCTCCCAGCGACTGGAAGCCGGAAACCGAGTTGAAGTTTAGTCCTCGTGATTTGAGGTGCTCGCGGACTTCATCAGCCTTCTTGAAATTGGCTGCCTTCCGAGCATCATTGCCTGAATGAAAGAGCAAGCCACTCCGATGTTCGGACTCCTTCGATGCCTACTGGATAGATGCATAGCTTGTAAGGCCCCAACGCTCTTCTATCAGGCGCTCAATCTCCTCGTCTGTAGGGGCTCCAGCCGGACGTTCGCCGCGATTCCTAGAGCTGGGCAGGTCCCAAGCTTCTCAGGAGAAAGGGCGGGTCTGAGGTTGCTCCCTCGCCGCTCTCCCGAGTACCAGGCATCGGCTGGACGCTTTTGGTGACCTCTGGTCCAAACGTGCCTTGGTAGCGCTTCCCACTGTTCCAGTACGGAGTCGGTGTTTTTGAAGATTCTACATGCCTGGCCTTTCTTGGATATCTTGACCTCCAAATCCGGAACGGGTTTGCCGTGCTGTTGACAAAACGCCTAGCAGGACAATCAGGCATTGCCTTGTGATTCATGGGCTGCTACAGTCCTGGTTTGTTACAGATGCTGGCCTTGTAGTCCGAATGCACCTTCTGCAGCTGTGTTTCGGCATACTGGACAGCCTGAAGCGGAAGTTCATTAACGACCTGCCGTGCCAGTTGCCAGGTGGGCCTTGTCAAAGGCGGTTTGGTCTCGGCAGGAGATACAGAGTGCCAGTGGTTCCTGACGGCAGCAGCACGCAGCACGCGGTTGGGCCCGAAGGTTTTCGATTGGACTCTGGAGAGCAATGCCAAGGTTCGTCCCCTTCATGTGGACCACCGATGCCCTTTCCACGGAGTCGCGTCTTGCCTCCATGCTCTTGAAATTTGGGGTCCTGACAGAATGCGCAGGCCTACGCCTGGCCTGGTGCAGGCTTCACTTGCAATTTGTCCTGCCAGATTGCACGCGCGATCTGGATGACCCGGCTGCCCACACGGAACTCACCCTCGTTTTCCTTAAGGAACGCAGGTGTATCTGCGATGCTTTCAGATTGCTACAACCAGAATTGAAAATTGCCTCTCGGGAGTTTTCTCCAAGATTCGATTCCCACCTCCAGTTTGCATGTAAACTTCTTCGGCTGGCCTGGCATCTAGAGCCCGTTGAAGAGTTGTCGACCGATCTCGCCGCGCCCCAATGATTTTTCTGATTGGCACACTCGCATAAGCAATAATTTAGTTTGAACTCGTACTCGGGCTGTAGGTCTCTGTTCCTGCTTCTTTCTAGCTGTAAATCTCACTGGAGATGCGCCTCCAGGAGAGGGGGTTGGGCTTGAAGGCGTTGGAGCAGGAGCCACTGGGTAGCCTCGGAAGGCTTTGGATTCTTTCAGCACGTCCTCCATACACATCTGAGGCCTGGTCCACTGCCAGGCATCATTGGATTCATAAACGGATTCCTGCAAGCAGGGCAAAACGGTTGCCTGAGTTGCAGACCTGCTCAAGGAAGGCTGGGCACAAGAGCCCAAGAGCCTCTCCTACCTCCGCCCCCCTTCACCACCCCACATCACCCCACATCACCCCACATGACACAAACAGGTGTTGATTGGTTGCGATGCTTTGTGATGTACATCCTTCCCGATGCGCAAGACTCCTTGATCCTGGCCTTTCGTAACAATGCCAAGGCACGACGCAGCCATGTGCTGCAGCAAGCCCGGATCGGCAGAGGGAGGAACTGCGGTGTATCCTCAAAAGACTCGAGAGCTGAACTGTGCCCATGGTGCATCGACACGGCGGGTCCTTGAGGATACGCAAACTCGACCGTGAGAAAAGCTCCAGACATGCCTGGCAACGAGATGAGACTAGAACAGACTAGAGACTCAGACCTTTCTAAAAGAGATTCGAAGGACAAGTCCGGGCTTTCTGGGCCTTGGAGCTGCTTCTTGTCAAGGTCGTGCTGCGCGGCCATTGCTTGGTGGGGTTGCGCAAACTGGACCTGGACACTTCGCCATAGCGCAGGAGTCTGTGCCAAGCGGCAGCTGGCCTGTGACGTAGTTCCCTCTCTGTCCATCTTCACCGTGACGACTTCGCCATAGCGCGAAAAGACCTCGCTCCACAAGACATGCTCCAGCTTCTTCCAGCAAGAGCTCAGAACACATCGGCCAGTGTTTCAAGCTGGACACGAAGGCTTTCGAAGTCCAGGGATGTAGCAGGCCCACCATTAGGTGTCTATGCAGGAATGTCGTTTTTAGAAGCGGGTTGAGCAGGCCACCGGGCCGCGCGAGCACCCTGTCGACATGTCAAGGTGGGCGGAGCGTTGATTGGTGGTCGGATTGTGTAATGTACCATTTTATACAGGAAGGAGTCGGAAAGAGTGCTACAGCCAATGGTCCCATGACATCCTATGCTGGGACCACCATCGAACCATCAGATTGCTCACGGAGATTGAGAGCCCAGAGGATGAAACAAAGTTGATGTGCGTTACAGAACACTTGAGACCACTTGCCTAGGAAGTGGGTCAGGGGTTAATCGAACTGTTTCGGGTCGTCGGTGAGTTGTTCAGATGCGGTCAATTGCAATGAAAATTATACCATCAGCATGAATGTGAAGGCAACTTCGCCTCTAAACGAGCATGCGAAACACAGCCTTGCATGTTCCTCTCGCATCACAAAAAAGCCCCGCTGGCCGCCTTCCGAACATCATCCTCGGTAAGCTGATACTCGAACTTCAGGCCGTCAACCCTCACGGTCCTCAGCGCGAGTTGGCGCAGGTAGAGATAAAACAGATTACCATCCCCCGCTTCGGCGCAGCATCAACAAAGAGATTTTTCTCGACCAAGCATCAACCAAGGAGAAACCATAGGTGGTGGATTGGGCCACCTAGCTTGCTCCACCAAGCACACTGGCTGAAAAGGCTAGGCGCATTCAATTGGATATTCTTGAGAGTTCCCATGGGGGTCAGTTATTTATCGAAAAGTTTTCAAAATATTTTCAATTTGGATTTACGAATTCAAAACCGGATTGAAAATATTTACAAACAATTACAAACACTGCAAAACAATGTTGTAAATTGTTTGTTTTTCGTATATCTTGTAGATATTGTGTAAAAGTTTTGTAAATCCTCCACAAATGCCAGGTATTTACAAAATCTGGCATTTCGGGTGGCTCGGAGAGGAACCGCAGGTTTGGCCGGCCGTTTTGTATGTTTTTTTGTATTTATTTATACAAAATAACAAACAGAGAATTCCAATTCGTAAATGTATTTTGGAAGTGTTTTTTGAAAATATTTTGAAAATTAATTCATTTCCCGTAAATGGCATCCTCCAGCAGCGGACACTCTCAAGGATATGCTGTCGAGCAGCATTGGCATACTGGGCATACCTGGAACCGGCGGCATAGGAGATGTCATCGACATTTGCCACCTAGTCTTGCGTAACATCACACGGGGCACACTCAAGCCAGAGGAAGCAGACAGTTTTTGAGCCAGCCGCATCATGGCTGCCAAGTTTTGCCTCGGCAGCGACGGCTACACTGATCAGCATGTGTTTCTGCATGCTGCTACAACAACAACAACAAAAATGGACTGTTTTGAATGCATGTTCAGCGAAGTAGCTGATCCTGGGAGCTCATGGCGCCCTGCTGATCCATGATGGCCGGGCTGTGCTGGCCACCAGACAATTAACACACAAATGCCCAAACGAGCACTTCACCCCTGCAAAGGGCCTCGAGCCAACATGTCGACAGCAGAAAGAGCTTACTATCAACGACTTCGGAAGCCCTGAATGCAAAGCACTCCCCGCAAGCAAAATAACAAAGGCTAGGGCCAGGGCGAGCCTAGGGCTAGACTGGCTAGGCCAGGCATCTTGCGCATGTGCTTTCGTCATATGCTTTGCATCGCACCTTGAGAACAGCCATCCGGACATCAGCTATGATACCAACCTGCGCGGGGTCAAAAAAGGTTGCTACTGCGGAAGACTGAGGAAAGCTCCGTCGGCATTCGTTTCGCTAAATGGGAGATAGAGGTAACACGCAGCATGACACAGATGCAACAAGCTTCACTCATTTTGTTGATCGTTGCGGGTAGCCACTTGGCCGACTCCTGTGGCATTGCTGGCGCCCTAGCTGAGTCCGCTTCCAAGCTTCCGCCTGCCACTTTCGCCATGCTGAATGGAGATTTGTGTAGCTGTTTCCAAATCCAGCCGGGCAGCACAGTTGACCAGCAGTCCTGAAGTGGCTGAAGCTAAAACATAGAGCTGTCTGGCATGGGGTGGCCTTGGTCCAGCGTCGAATGTCGTCAGCAACGTCTTCCAGGCCGACGGCAACGAACAGCGGACGCATTGAGTTTCGCCAAGTCAGATCTTGCAAAAGAACCAAGCCTGGGTGAGGCTCCACAGCACTGGCAAGTGTAGCCAAGTTGAAGCCAGGCCACCGGTGCAAAGCAATGTAGCCATTACAGCATATCGCGTTAGGCCGCCTGGGGCGGGCGGGCAGGACTGGCAGGACACACAAGCCTCCGACTTTACACACGTTCGCACGGGAAGGTGGCTTCGTCAGCTGCTTACAGACTTGGCATTCTGCAACCATGGAACCGTGATTTTGGTTGAGCTCCGAAGAGACTGATGTAGCTATGGTCTCAGGGCCCCAATCGCCTTGCTGTGGTCTACCTGAACTGAGCCGACGAAGGGCGGATGCATTGCAATGGTTCCAAGAGCACATCCCGAAGGGGGTCGGCCAAGCGGCACTGGGAGATCAAGACCTGTCTCTGAGTGTCGTATCTCAGCCCTGGCACAGTGAATGGCAGGTCTGCGGGCGGAGACACAACGAGCAGAGAATGCTGATGGGTGCTGCCATGGAGCGCAAGCAGCCCACAAAGCGCTGTTCCTTCAGAGACCCGTGTGACCAGGTGCACTGGTGCTCAGCCAACGAAAGCATATGAACGCCCATCATAGTCCTGGTTCAAGAGTTCGCCCTGAAACCAACCGTCCGATAACTTCAAGCGGCCGTGGTGATGGATACCTCTATTCCTCGGACCGGAGGTTGCAAGACAGAGCAAAATTTGGCCCACCACGAAGTCCACGAGATGCTGACAACAGACTGCACAGCTGCATTCGAGGAGCCTGTCCTCAGCTTATCTGTGCAGAAAACGATATCGCTGACAACTTCTGAACCAAACAAAGCAGAAGCAAGAAGGCCCAAGCCCACTCGTCAAATCGGCAAGCTCTGTCCCCCAGCGGCGATATCACATAAGACATCCTGAAATCAAGCTGCAACCGGTGCTCTACATGAAGACTGCTTGGTCGCCCAGCACTGACTCTTATTTGGAGAAGCGTCGACCCATCATAGTGCCACCGCCCCAGCAGCTGCTCACAGTCGCCTGCCCCCGCGCCGAGTTCGTAAGCCTGGTGCTGCTTTCTGTAGGCCACTGCCGGGGTCATGGAGCACTGATGGGACTGCTCGCCTGCACATCTCCCCGCTCGGGCTGGACTGCACTGGTCCGCCACCTTTTTTTCAGACTCTCCTGCACCTAAGTATGGAGCTCAACAGGTTACATAGTGTTGACTCGACGGACCGTGCAGAAGCAAATCGAATTTGATGAACCACTTGCAGACTCGACACTGCGCCGGCACGAACTCGGTTCACAGAAGCTCTGAACCTAACAAGCGACGAACCCCCCTAGCGAACGACTAGCTTTGAGAATTGAGAGTTGAAGATACTATGTCGCAGGATGAAGGGTGCAGGCAGGCCTGACAGCTGCAATGCGCCTGAGCGCAAAGCTGTGCCAAGACATCGCCGGAGCAAGAAACTTCTGCTGCCCTGCGTCGTGCGTAATTCAACTTCGTATATGTCGCTGCACATGGGATGCGCTTACTGCTTGGCTGCACGATGTGCAGCTGTTTTACTTCTGTCGATCTGCACGAGTGATCATGTCGGAGGCACGGCAATTAAATGCTTCTCGTCTGGTGGCAATGAGTACCATCACAGCTGCTGGAAGTCATACTTGAATCAACAAACAGCTTGCGTGCATCGTCTGAACTCTTTTCGGTCTTTTCGAACAGCCTCGCGTCTTCGTTGTCATGCCGAGGACGAAGCGGTGCGCACGAGGCCAAGGCTTCCAGGCCTGCGGTTCCCCGACCGGATTCACCTGAAGGATCTCCTTGCCATGCACCAGCTCGATCACATCTCTCGCACAGCGTCAGCTTCAGGAAACCATCAGCTTCTGCCACATCCAGCTGCACGCATGAGTCCTAAGGCAGCATTGCAGCGACTACATGTTGTCTTGGCAGGGGGATGCCGACAGACAAGTCGAGGCTTTATTGAAGGCAGCCTAAGGGGTTACTCCTGCAAAGTATAAAACTTGTGAAAGCACTCCACAGAAATACAGAAAGCTGGGAGGCCGCAACGCGCTCGTGCAGCCTTGCTCGCTTGGAGTCGGTCCCTGCAAAGAGTCCGTCGGGTGCCACAAGCAAAGCCAGTGTGTTGCCACTCATCAAATCCATACCTTGCCACATTGGCCGCAGAGATGTAGGGCGCACGTTCTGCCCACTCTAGCAGGAGTGCGTGAATCATCCGGGCACACTTGCCGAAGAGGCCGGCTGGGCGTGCTGAGTCTTCTACATAAAGCCTGGCATGCATCACGCTTGCATCTCTTGCGGAACGACACAGCCAGTGTCAGAGCCTGCATCGCGGCAAAGTAGTGGTTCGGAAGGCCTCCAGCAGTGCAACAAGTTGCCAAGAAGCAGTCAGAAAGCAAAACAGCACGCGCAGGATATCCATGATTCGCAGCAGGCCGCGTTCATGCCAGATCTCCGTGCAGACTTCGGCTGCACGGCCGCGAAGTGTGAGCACAGCAAAGAGCGCCAGGTCTGCTGCCTGGTTGCCAGAGTTGAGATATAATACGTAGCTGGCAGACATGGTCTGGGATTGCAGGCTGCAGCCACTCCCAAGTAGTCAGCACAGTAGTTTTTCACAGCACAGGCTGAAAATTCAACATGCATCGAACCGGGCCTCGTCAGATTCCCAACGCCCTGCTCGAAAGTCACGCTCCAGTGCACTCAAGAATTTGCCAACCTGCAAGAGTTCGTCAGATGTCGCCCCCTGCCAAGGTGCGCATTGCAGCTCGGCAGCAACTGGATCTGCCAAAAGCTTGTCCGTCGTCAACTCAGTACGAAAACCTTGAAGAGCATGTGCAGCCTGCTTATAACAGTCCTCGGGCGACTCCCACTCTCTCCTTCTCACAGAAGCCCCGGGCGACTCCATGCGACAAAACAACGTGCTGAACAGCATGGCGAGATTGGCGGAGCGTCCCAACTAGCCTTCCTTGGCCGATCACGCTTGCATTGCACCCTGAGGACAGCCTTTAAACTGCTCTGAGCCACTTCTCGCCCAGGTGCCAAAGAGCAGCGCCACAATTTGCCCAGGCCTCGCAGGGCGCCGACATTGCGCTCAAAGCGCTGCTCTGGCACAGTTGCACTACGCCTACGCCGGAACGGCTGGTGCAGGTGCCTCAGAACAGAAGAGCAAGAAAACCTTATGCCATGTGCGGGACCTTCCAGTCGAGGCAGTCAGCTTCGCACTTCGGCGCCTGCTTGATCAATTCTTCGTACCTGACTCTTTCACGGCACGCAACAGAACAGAAGTGGCGGTGGCAACATGGTCTCAACAGCTGCTTGCTTACATGCTCCAATCGTGTTGAGCGGCCAAGGGAGCCTGCTGACCCCAGTCTCCTCCAAAATACCTTCAACTTCAGCTGGCTCTTCACTTTCAGGAACAGGCTCTGTGGCCGTTGGCTCCTCAAAGACTGGAACACATGCCGCCATCCAGACAGCTCCTGCACACAGCCGCGCTGGATCTCATCTCCTGGAGGGAAAGGCTTTCAATTCCTGCTTCCAGTGCTGCTGTCGAGCAAGCCCGCTTCCCCATCCACCTGCGTCAGAAGGGTGTGTCTCTGTTGCTGTCGCATATAGAATTGAAACCTCAAATGAAGAAGTGCATTGAGGGAGCACACATAAGTGAAGCCATTCAGTGCTATTGAGATGTGGTGGCTCTTGCACTTCTAAAAACTCGGCAACTACCTGCTGTTTGATGAAATCCGAATCCTCAAAACAACTAGTTTCTTGTAAATCCTGCCTCAACAGACAGGTTCGAGAATAAATTCCTACAGAAGAAAAACAATCAATCATAGTGGGAATGTAGAGCTTGATGTTCAAATTTGCCTTTTTGTTGCAAGTCAATGAACTTTCAGGGATTCCTATGAACCGTTTGACATGCATGTGAATCTCGCCTTAGGTTCTCAGATATTCGAACCTTGATATCGGTTACTTTCCGTTACATGCAACTAAGTGCCTGAAGCAGAAATACAAAAAAAACTATGAATCTGTTTGGAGCAGAACAACCTGATATTATGGAGCACCTTCCTGCGAGCAAAACCAGTCCAGACGAAACATATATTGCAAAAAGTTTTTTGACTCAGTTTTCACTGTCTCCAGATTTCCATTCACACAAAACCCCAAAAAGCCGCGATGAAACTAATGTCTATACTAAGATAAGCTGCATGTGTATGCAGGTTGGTTTCTAAATAGGCAATTAAAGAAGATGCACTTTCCCTAACCATTTGCGTCCAGCTGAAACTGCTTCCTGGCGGCAGATAATTACTTTTACCATTAATATACTCATCGCTTGAAACAGACACACCGTCCTACTACTACTTACTACTGCTACTGCCACTCTTATTGCTGCTACTGCTCTGCTTCTGCTGCTGCTGCTGCTGCTCCTGCCGCTGTTCCTCCTCCTCATCCTCCTCCTGCTGCTGCTACTAATGCTGCTACTGCTACCACTGCGACGACTGCCACTTGCAATTACTACTATTACAACCTGCTACCCACTACACGCCCCCCTACGACCTACTACCGACTACCTTTCTTTTCGCATCTCTGCAATCTACCTACTACCTAATACCCGACGACGACTTAGTCCTACTCATGCTACGATTTCCATCCCAGCCACCGCTCCCACTCCGATTCCGACATTTCCCACATCGTGCGATGCCTATCCTGCTCTGCCTGGCCCTGGCGGTGCGACTGCTCCTACAATCTTATTTCTAACAACTGCCCCCTCGGCAAAAGTATCCTGCTCCTCCACTATGATAAGCACTTGCACGACCACTCCTCGTAACAATGTTGCTGCTCCTGCTGCTGTGCTGCCTTGTTGCTATGCTGCATGGCTTGATCATTCCTACGCCCTACGCATAGAGCAACCGGAACACTCGGTAAACCTCCTTTCAAGACCAAACCCGCCGCATCTGACAGCTTCCTGCCTCTTTCTGCAAAATGATCAGCCGGACCACTATGAAGGCAAAGCCTATGCAGCCGTCTCAAGTATTAGCGGTGCTCATGCATCTCGCCACTTCGCCACCATGGCTCCGGCACGAGAGCAGCTCAAATCCTGCTGGATTTCGGGCCGTCATAATCCTGGGCCATAGGAAGAACCGAAAAGGTGGTGAAGCTCTGGCCTCACAACGCCGACTTTGGCTGTGATTTGAGGCTCCCTCTCATCCCCGGTCACGGATTGCAACGAGGGACATGCACAATCCAATCTTGTTCCGAAGATTAGCTAGCCGATGCCACTGCTTTCCGATGACATGGACAGTATACCGCCAGACGTTCTAAAGTGCGAATCGGCTAAGTTTACACAGGTTCACTTCACGTCGCAGAGGGGCTGTCGCAGTGTGCAGCGCGAGAACTGTGACGAATCACCCATGCTGTTAATCATCAACGCCCGCTTGCACTTTTTTAAACATGCTCCCCGCCTGTCTGCGCTGACATTGGCTTGCTCTCGCCTCCATTCTGGCGGGTCCGGCTCCGGGATCGTTCTCTGGACATGCCTTCCTGTGAGAACGAAGGTCTCGCAGGCTGCGGCTGCACCTCTGTCGGTGCCTCCAAGAACTTTTCATGGCAGGGGAGCATGTGCCCGGGCACATTAGATGCACAACCTGCACCTGGAAGTAGACCGGGTGCCTGCCAACCAACATGGTGCGGCATGGAGTGCATCATCTGCATCTGCATCTGTGCTTGCACCTGGCCCTGGCCCTGTACAGGGACACCAGCCTGAGTTTGCAGAACTGGCAAACTTCCTGAATTCCGAAACGATTGTTGTTCGGCAAAGCTGTGTGAGGGGGACATTTGCCGCTGCTGCTGCTGCTGCTGCTGCTGCTGCTGCTGCGGCATCAGTGCCATCGGGTTGTGGGGCATGTTGTTGAGCATCTGGTTCGATGGCAACAAGACCTGACTGTTGGGCATGTGGCCCTGCACACCTGGCCCTGGCATGAATTGCGCCTGGTTTGCCGCAAATGTGCGCATATTCTGAACTGGGCTATTCATCATGGGCACCTGATTCCAGCTTTGCCCGCAACCTGATTGCATCGGCAAACGGTTGTGGAAGGCTGGCAGGTTGGGCGGTGGCGGCGGGGGCGGGGGCATTGCTGAGGTGTGAGTGGGTACTGTGCTGCCCACGTCCCAGCTCGAGGGGGGATCAGGAGGAAATTGTGGTGAATGCTGTGGGCCGGAAAATGAATGAAAGTCGCTTTGGCGCTGGAAGGGCTTCAGTTGGAATGGCGCATCGTGAAGCCTTGGCTGGCAGAGATGGAAACAAAACTTAAGGATGTCAGGCAAACCGGGTTGCGAACTGCAGAGACTTTCCGTGAAAAGATGGGAAGGACAGCGGCACCTGCAACGAGGCGAAATCCAACTTCAACTAACTAGCAGCGGGCTACTGACATCTGCGACACATCGCTGACCAAGCTTCCCACCATCCCACTCCGCCGCTCTGGAGCTTTCAGGCTCTGCGCCAGGAGAGCACGCCCACCCGTGACGAGGGCCTCAGTGGAGGGCAACCAGCTGCAATCAGAAAGCAGAGCCGGTGTACCGTCACCCGTGTTCGTTTGACAGCTCGGTCATGGCACACAGATCGTGGCATCATCTATCGCATTCCCTTCCACGCGCAGCCAGACCGGTGGCTTCTTCTGCGTCAGCCGTGCCCATTTAGTTTCCTTGGATGCGGACCTACCTGCCTCTCCAGCTTTGCATTGCAACAATCATCTCAAAAGACTCTACGGCATCACTACTCTCAGGATGACGAATGGCGATGGCCTGCACCAAGCCATGGAAGCCATCCGGGGTAATACGGTTGTGCGATAAATGGAGCTCACTGGGCAGGTTGTCAGGTGGCATAGCTTCAATCCAGCCTGCTATCGCTCTCCTTACTTGAACAGCAGCCAGATCTTGGAGAGCGTCACAAGGCTGAAATGCTGCCACTGCTTCGATGCGGCGTCATCGAGCCCGCAGTCAAAGGCTTTCACCCGTTCGACGCGAGCGCAGCTGTCTCTCAAGACTTGAAATAGCTGGTCCTCATCTGCAAGCACGGAAAGTTTCTTTTGGCTTCCGAAAGCGACCGGCGCTTGCTCGTGTCAATCTGTCTGGGGGTGGCTGCTTTCCAAAACGAAACGATCGACAGGACCTTCCTCTCTGTAGCCTGAATGACATCGAAGCCCTCCCGATTGGGCTCAAGGGCTTGTGTCAGGGTGGGTGTGGACTCTGGAGGCGGTACGAAGGGACCCGATCCCGACGAGCACCCCCACCCTCCCCAGCGCCCTGCTAAGGCGACAGTACCCTATACCACGCGTTTGCTGCTTGGACCCATGCTTGCATTTTCGTCCTTGGGGAGCTCTGGCTTATTTCACATTCCCAGGTCTGCGTCTTAGGGTCATTTTGTTTCTGCAGCGGATTTACCTGTCTATCAGTCCGCTCTGGCGTCTTCTTGGCTGCTTGGATGCGTGTTCGCCCTCGGTGTTGGAACAGCGATGTTCCCTCTGCGCTTGGCGCACGCCTGTGGTCGCCTGTGGGTCGCCCCTGTGCGTGCCCTCCGTGCTTGCAGCATATCTCCCTCGGCACTGGCCGCGCTCCTTCGCCTACTTGTAGCTTCGGACCGTGGTTATGTGCAGGTTCGTTGCAGTGTGCAAGTTCACCGGGTCTGTGCAAGAGTTTGGGCATCCCTGTTATTCTTGCCGGCTTGTGATGCAATTATTTGATAGTGCTACAAAAGTCCAAAGTGAAAGAAACACAATTCGCGAGCCGAGCATGCCAGCACTGCAGAACATTGACTCCACGCACCTGATATGCACTTGCCTGGGTTCTCGGTTCATGTCCGTTTCTTCCCTCATCTTGCCGTTGCCTCTGCCTTGCCTGCTCTGCCTTGCATGGGGCCATGACGGTTTCGAGGCTCTGCCCCGCTTGCGTCTTAGCACCTCGGGGTGGAGACAACGCAGGTACCCATCTCCTTGTCGGGAGATGAACTCTTGCTTGCTTGGGGTGGGAGTAGTGCCCGTTCCCTCAAGTGTGCCTGTAATGGACCCCCGCAAGAACGCCCCTCCTAAACCCTCACCGTGAGAACCCCCGTCAGGCGCCACTTGAGTCATCCTTGTACTCCCCAACTGTCTGGGTCGCAGGAACACTGTGCGGAAGCAACAAAGACACTATGACCTGCCTCCCCGCCTCACTCCGAACAGAACGTGTTCATCTTCTCTCTCTCTCTCTCTCCCGGGCATGAGGGCCGGTCAAAGCCCCCGGGCCACTGGCCCACCCGCATGTGTGTAATGCGGGCCGAGGGGGGTGAGGAACGAACATAATACTTCCAATGACTAAAATCATATAGTATGCGATAACGGCGACAGGAAGTATGTATGTTCTCACTGACAAACTAGCTCCCCCAGCTTTGTTGAAGTTGCGCTCAACGAAGAAATGAAGTAAAGATAAAGCAAAGCGCTCCAGCGCAACGTCAAACTTGTTCCCCCTGCTCAAGGCCATGGGGGCGGGAAGAGCGTCTGCGGAGAAATGCTGCTTTCGACTGTCCAACACCCTTTGTATGTCACAGGAAAACAAAGCAACACCAGGACATAAAGTTAAACCAAGCAGACAAGCTAGGTGTTGGGCATCGAGAGCTTGCTCTGAAATCTGAAAAAGGGATTCCCCCGAAATGAGTGTACATTCTAATTACGAACTCGGGCGGCAAGCTCCAGCGCAACGTCAAACTTGTTCCCCCTGCTCAAGGCCATGGTGGCGGGAAGAGCGTCTGCAGAGAAATGCTGCTTTCGACTGTCCAACACCCTTTGTATGTCACAGGAAAACAAAGCAACACCAGGACATAAAGTTCAACCAAGCAGACAAGCTAGCTAGGTGTTGGGCATCGAGAGCTTGCTCTGAAATCTGAAAAGGGGATTCCCCCGAAATGAGTGTACATTCTAATCACGAACTCGGGCGGCAGGCGGGTTGAAAAATGCAGGCCGAAGCCTACAGCAAAGGTCTTTCCCCCGACAGGAGAAATCAAAAAGGTATGTCGGTTTGGTGTCAGAAGTTGGTCCCCCTTGACTTCCTACAAGCAAAACTCACCAGCCCCCAAAGAAAACACCCCCTAAGCACATGGAAGTAAATGTATCAAGGGACGACTTCTGCAAAGGACTTCCCCCGCAGGGCGAGCATACTCTAATTACAACTCGGATGGCAGGCGGATTGAGCGAGGCAGGCTTATGCCCACAAACTAAAACGTTGAGATCTAGGAGCTACAGAGCGGCAGCTTCCTAGGAGGTATACAGGTTGGCGATGACTTCTGCCGAGGCAGGTTATGGTACACTTGCTGAAAAGCGGCTTCATCCCCCGTCATATTTACAGGGCGATCGTGCAAAGGTTTTCGAAAGAGTAACACTTCAGCTTGCATGCACCTGCGATGGAAAGAAGTCCCCTGCTAAAGAAACCAAAGCAAACACCTGAAGCCCCCCAAGCGATCCCCCAAGCTGAAGACAGTTGCAGACGAATTTGTTCCCCCGCTCACTTGTTTTTGTGCCTCACGAACTGCGGCTGGCCCGGCTGGCCCTTTCGGCTCTCTCTTGTCTTCGTCGTAGTTTTCGCTGAGCGCGAAAAGCAAGCTTGGTACATATTTTCCAAGCTTCCTTCAGGCGGCCGCTATACACACGGCAGTGGGAAGCAAGCTGGTTTCCTCATGTGTTGCGGCTCTGCCCCACGGATCCAGGCAGTGGTCGTCTGGGTGGCAGTCGGCCCTCGGGCCATTCTGGAGTAATTGGAGCTTGCGCCCCCAGATCCATAGCTGCGGCCGTCTCCCCTGAGCAGAAAGAGGTGTTCTGGGAGCTTGCTCCCCCGTTTCCTCAGTGGTGGCAGGAACAGACGAAACCAGGCGTATATCGTCGTCTTCTTCCCCTTGTTGAGAGGCGGAGTAAGGTGTTGTAGGGGCCTTTTCCCCCTCCTCGACGTTGAGCCACTCAGGAGTCGGAAGGTCGAGGATCTCGTCGCTGTAGTCTTCAGATCCCCCGGCTTCTGGTGGGTTTCTCCCCCACTTCCGCAGGCAGGCTCTGTGCACTCTGTCAATCCACCCCCAGTTTTTTGCCACGCGGTCCAGAAAGCGTCGGATTTTGCACTGGTGGGCTCGTAGGTATCGGAATGTTACGACCCCCTTTTTGTAAAGCTCTTTGCTTCTGCAGCGGAGTTCGTGGTCACGTTGTAGCTGCTCTTCTTCGACCTCGGTATGGTAGCGCCCCAAGCCTTCATCGTAGTGTCTGGCTTTGGTTGGGGACCACCGCAAGGGACGGTTCCCCCATGCAACCTCGATCTGAAGGATCTCCCGCAGTCGGGAGCGCATTGAGGGTCCATGCAGCCGATGTCCCCCTAGTCGGCTTTTGTTGGTCCCGGTCACGGTCTCTTGGTCCCCCTCGAAGAGGTTCTGCACGTCGTGGAGCTGCTTTTGCTTTTGAAGAGCTGCTGCGCAAGGGCTGTGTCCCCCGTGTAGTTGTACCGTACAGGCGGCACTCAGGGTCCGAGCGCTCATGCGCCTTTCTGCAACCAGCGGCGCATACTCCCCCGCCAAGTCTGCAGAGCTTACATTGTTTGGCCATCCCCCCGTAGTTCGAACTTCACTATCTTCGCCTTCCGGTCAAGTCACGAACGTGTACCTGATGGTCTCCCCCGTCCAGCGCAGAGGTACAGCGCAATCGCTGTGGCAGAGGTGTCCGAGAGGTCGTTGATGAAAAGGAGCGTCCCCTTCAATCAAAGGACGATCAAAAGCAAGATCTTGCAGTGTACAGGTTCCCCCCAAGGTTGTAGTATCACGACCGTGCCCTTCTCGAGTATGGCACGCGTCTGGAAAACCTGTTGGGGTCTCTGGAACAAAGTGGCAGCGGACACAGGGCTCAAGCCTTCCCCCGCTCGAAGGGACGTCCACCCAATAGGAGTGCTGGGAACAACCAGCACCTCCAGAGGGCCGCCCTCGAGCGCCCCCCCAAAGGGAAGCGGCAGGTCGACTTGAGCCAAAAGCGCTACTTCTTCAACACAGACAAAGGGAAGGCTGGAGACCCCCCCCTCGCGCGCGCACGCGCCCTGACAGCCTCGGTCTCAGGTGAGACTTCCATTTCAGATGAGGGCCCCCGTATCGCAACTGTTGAACCACCTAAACTAAAGTACCTACACCCCCGGCCTCGTCTGAAAGCTGGCTACGTGCTCTGTGACGTCAGCTTGCACTGTATCAAAGGCACACTACTCTCGTGCTTCGTTCCCCCAGAACCAGGACTACAAGGGCTACTCTCTCTCTCTCTCTCCCCTTCTTCTTCTTCTTCTTCCCCCGGGCATGGAAGCATGGAGGGCTCTCTCTCTCTCTCTTGCTTGCTGGGCGTTTGGGCATGGGAGGACCCCGGTACCCTGCACACTCGCGCTACGCCGTTGTCCGCGTCTTGGTTCTCTCTCTCTCTACCTCTCTCTTTCTCTCTCTCGCTCGCTCGAAGCATACGTGTCTGGCAAACGTTTGAGCACCGAGGTTCCACGCTGCTTGCCGGCCTGAGGTGCTCAGGACGGCCGCCGACGACTGCCATCATGTCAAGCGACGGCCGAGTCTCCGGCATGGATGTCTTCGCTATATCGATCTGGATGAAGCTGGCGGCACCAACCTCATGGATGAAGTTATATGCAGGACTTCCCCCGGGAGTGGACAGTTGCAGCTTCCCCGGAGGACGTCCCCGTGAGTTCTTCTCGCTATTTGTCTGCGGCATCCTGTTTTGGAGATGAACAATTTTTTCTGACTTTGCGCTTCATTTCTTGGCTCCTCGTCTGTCCTCCGGCTTGGTGTGGCCACCGCCAATTTGGAGGTCTTCTGCACCCAAACCCAAATCTGTTGTTGTGGTTGTTGTTGCTTGTTGTTGTTGTTGCCGTCGTGCCTCTTCAAGCGTGTTAGTTCCGGCTTGCACTGCAAGAATGCTCCTATCAGCAAGTATCACAACATCAGGTTTCTGTGCCCCAAGACTTTTCACGAGCTCTGGCTCTGGCTAAACAAGAAGTGGGTTCTATCATTCATCAGTGATTTATCAGCGCCAGAGATCCGAAAAGGGAGCCAGTGCTTCCCGCAGCTTCTGGCAGAAAATCTCTCCTTTTCCTGGCTCATCTTTGAATGCTGCCTTAGCTTTCGTGGCAAAGTTGCAAGCATCGACAGTTGAATGCTGTATACTGCCTGAATCAGGCACAGCACAGCCACAGGCCGATGACAGCAAGTCTACCGTCATTTATGCGAAACTCAACTGCCTCCCAGATGCATCACCTCGAGATGGCAGCCCGGAGATGAAGCTCCTGGGAAGCCCTTCTCCCGCCAGCGACGAGGTAGAGAAGCCATAGCTTGCCATGAAGCATGCGCAGGACGACGCGAGCTAGCTACGCATCCTCTGGCCTGATGCGTGGAGATGTGTTTCAAGAACGTTCGCGACTTGTCATGCTCGCGTGACAACTGCCAATTTGAGCCTGGAGATGCTTTGCAATGCGAATACACATGGCATACAAATGGCAGCCAACAACCATAAGACTCTCTGCACCGACCGTCACAGCATAAGCACAGCATGGTCGTTGGGAGGAGTTCGCCTTCTAAAGGGCCGGCACCGTCGACTACATGACTGCCCGCCCTCGGTACACCTCTGACCGCAGGGGGCGGCAAACACCAAACACGAGATTTTGACGGTCTGCTGGTCTGTTGTCCGTCGGAGTGCAGCTTCGTGTCAGTCAAGCAAGTTGTCGGGCCCTTTTTGCTGAATGTCCCCTCGGTTCGAACCACACGCCTGCGGCAGGGATGTACGTCGGGCATGGAAGTCGATGACCCCGAAATGTCAATTGCCTGGGCGCCGTCTAGCCGGGAACGAATGCAAACGACCTGACAGTCCCGTGGTTTTTGCGGTTTCGATGGAGCGTGGACAAGCCACAGACATCGCTGGTGACATTTCGACCAGCCGAATAATTGCGATGTGTAGGACCACATCTTCTGCGTTTTCTACGCATCGCTGAAACTCGGAAACTTGGCTGGAGCTCGCGACATGAGGAACCTGCGGCTCAGCCTTTGCAGAAAAGGGCTTCGGCTCGTCACAGTCACAGGCCAAGCCTCGGCTGGTGCCAGGGACCCGCAGACCCTTGCCACGAGTGACCTCAAGAGGCTCGGACTTCTCGGGGTTGAACGCCATCTTCCGACTGCACAGTTGGGCAACAAACCCAAGTTTTGCAGACAGTGAACACTCCGTGCAGCTCTGCGAAACTCTCTCTTTTCCGACATGGCTGGCAATTCTTAGTTTTGCCGCAGGGACAGCATCTCCAGCCCAAACGTGCATGTGCGGGATATTGACACAGCACAGAAACATTGAAACAAACGGAAATCGTGCTGGCAATAAATGTCATTATTGGAGTGAAGTTTGTGGCTGTCCCTCTTGCAGGGAACACGCAGCTGCAACATAAGGAATGCATGATCAATCTAGAAGAGTTCAGGCAGAGGAAAACCCACCAGAGGGGCGATCCCATCAGCTGCCAACCTAGGTGGCAGCCATGAGTAGCCAAGTGCAAATGCAGGCAGCAATACTCTGAGAAGTGAGTGCACACGAAGCTTCATTACACCCCTGCAAGTTTTCCAGGCCATCGGTAGCAAACGGGTCTCGCGCGCAGATTGGTGCCCTGCAAAGCATTTGTAGCTCGTTTCAAGGCATCCTCACGACTACCAACCTGCCCGCCTGTACACCTCTGCGCCAGAGCGCGCAGAATCAGTGCGAAAAACTTCTAGCTGACTCTAGGTCCTCTAGGTTGCCAGGCACAAGCCATGGCAACGAGAAAGGGCCACTTCTGGGATTCCAGAAGCAAATCACCTTCGGCATGTTCCATCAGCACCACATCCGCAAAACCTACGGATATCTGCGTCGACGTGACTGGAGGAATGATGGTCAAAATTGACAAGGTTCCCCGCGTCCACTCACAAGACATGCGAGCCTGTATCGCAGAAAGGCGCCGAACCAAAAATGTGCCAGGCATGGGTCACCCAGTGCCATCAAGCATTAAGCATGCCTTACTTTCCACAACATGAGAGTGGCCTCTGGGAGAGGATCAAAGGATCAGTTGCAAACAACTGCTGGGGCCATTTTTTCCGGTGGCCTTTGCAAATACTGAGACGAGAGAACCACCAGTCATTACCACTTAGACATATCAGCCCATCCTGTCCATCCTTCGACTGCACACCCGACCATTCGACAGGCAGGCGACCCACTTCGAACATCCCCTCCCTCGGCTAAAGTAGTCGAAAGCCAAGTCGCAAAGAAGAAGGAAGGCCACAACGGACTGCCCGCTTCTGTCAGAGGCATCAACTTGTTCATTGAATTCCTTGGCGAACTGCCGCCGGCACTCACTTGGCTTTTTGAGTTCCGGGCCGATTGAAGAGACTTCAGGCTGATTCTACATGTGTTTACATCTTTTTTTGTCTCCCACCATTGTCCAAGGTTCCCAGCTCCTTGCCGTGGAAGACGGGCCCTCAGCATCCGAAACTTGATGGCTCTGCCCCACAGCATCCGAATCAGGTAATTCGGCTACAGTCCATGTGAGGTTGGTCTACCCTCATTGCTTCTTGGTGGTGCCATGCCACCTCTGGATTCTGAGTCGGTAGGGGCGAAAGGGTGGTCGAAGCAACTTCTGATGCCGTAGTGGAGCCAGTCGATGAGCTGAAGCCTGTCGACATCAGACACATGCAATCCAACAAGCTGCTCGCATGCATGCTGGAGGACCTGATCCATCCGGTTCCGTTGTCGTCTCTGACTGGTCTTGTTGGCTGGAGCTCGTAGTCGTAGAACTCGCAGAGCCTACAAAACCACTGTGAACATCACATGCGCCGCGCATTGCATAGCAGGCATAGCAGGAAGTTAGAAGCCAAGCAGCCTTGAATCCAAGTGCTTGCAATCTCAACGGAACCACTTCCGGAAGCAGCAACACGCTCTGCAAGTGCCAGGCCCCCTTGCACACCAATCAGTGCGTATGACCCTCGGTATGACAGACTTCTGATCTCGCTGGCGCCCAGGCCCTCGATAGCAGTTTTCGCCCCTGCGGTTAGGTTGTCGGTCGCATCATCCATAGCAGCGACCATGACAAGCGTTCCATACGGTAAGCCTTGCAAGAATCTGACCAATGGCTCCGAGCCCAAACCTTCGAAGCCGGTGTCGAAGACATGCGTCTGCAGCTGCCCATCTTGCAAAGATACTACCGTCAGGCCCCGTCCGGCAACCACGTCAACAAGAGCGCCATTGACGTAGAACTCAACGAAGTTCCCATCAGCCGCCCCCGCACTGCGAACTCGCAATGCAATCGGATCACCAGCATTCGCAACAGATGAAGTGGTGGCGGCACACTCTGGCTTCCAAGAATTTCTACCGCTGACCTGCACATGGCCTTCCCCTGATGCCGCCAGCCTCTCTGCTACAGCCGATCGGCCCTTAACGCCAATCAATGCATACGACCCCCTGTAGCCAAGATTGTCTATCTGCGTTGCCCCAAGCTCCTTGATCGCATTTATCGCAGCTAGTGTCAAGTTGTCCGAAGCATCATCCATGGCAGCAATCATTACGCCGACGCCTTCCGAGAGGCTGTTCAGCAATGAAGCCAGGGGTGCCGAACCACTCGCTTGAAATCCCGTGTCGAAAACATGCATCTCCGATGCGCTCGTGCCATGTTCATCCAGAACAACAACACTCAAGCCCCGCCCCGGGGTCATCTCTACTTGCGAGCCATCGATGAAAAACTCTACAAGGTTGCCGTCCAGAGCGCCAGCACTCTTCACCGCCAACTCAACACAGTCATTTGTGACCGCCGAACTCGAGCTTATGACCGTGCTGCTAGTCGTAGAGACATTGGGCGCTGCGGTGCTTGCTGGTGCAAGTGTAGTTGTAGTTGTGCTCGCCAATGGCGAAGGCAACACAGACAGCACCACGGCACGAGAGTATCCACTGGAGAACTCACGTGTCAGATCTGAGACATTTGGAGCGAGATCAGGAGCCTGCCAGTCGGAAGCAAAGGCGACCACATCTGTCAAGAGCCACATTTCCAGCACAGGGGGCATGATCAAGCGCAGGGAAGCATTTCCTCCGCCAGGCAACCAGGAATTACATGGATTTATTAGCCTGGTGACCCTTTCCCAGTCCCACAATTCAGGCTTAGCTGGCACCACCTGCAACAATTAACAGACATATGTGTCGCATGAATCACCAGAAACTTCCATTCCTGCCAAGCTGCCGGCAACATCAGAGGCGTTTCTGAGCAGGTGTTGCATGTGCTGGACGTCTTTGGCCAGACCATGCAGTGTGCCGGCATCATCTGCTTCAGCTGTGCGAACCTGTGCGGCGAAGCTACACCCCGTGGCAAACAACATGTTTGACAGCTTTCGCGAAATCTGTGAACTGTCGTCGGCGACAACATGCGTTGAGCCTCTGCCCGGATGACATCGGCACCTGCACATGCAGTCTTTTCGCGCCCGCTTCCTTTTGAAGGGCATGTTGATCACTGCACCAAGGCCTGAAGATGAGCAAGTTGAATTTCGCACAGTCAGGATGCCACAGATCTCCGTGGCAGCCGCCTGCAGCGTTAACAATGCATTCAGAGATGAATGAGTGCTACTACCACTTCGTGCCTGCCATGCACCTGTCCAGTTCAGGAGCTCGAACTCTGCACTGACCATGTAGGCGACATCCGCCTGCTCTTGAGCTGCACAACTCCACAAGCTGAGCATCTACAGCTACATGTCAACCGACACAGTCGAGCATGATGGTGGAATCGAGCTGCAATGCTGACATTCGGAGTTGCACTGCTGTATGCTCCAGCAATAAGGCTCCCATGAATCTCGTTCGATTTAGGTTCAAAGTCAGACATGTTTTCAATTTGCACCGCAACGATGAAGGAAGCTTCCAGCACCCGCTGATCAACAGGTTCACCCGGTGCACATTGAGAAAGATCTGGGGTAATCGTGTAGTTCAGGTACAGGTCATTGAACTTGATGCAGCAAGTAGCTTCCTCAGTTTGTCAGGGGCTCTCTTTTGAAAAGAAGGGCTGCAAGCACATGGCAAGAGCGACTTGCCCATGCTTCAGCTTGAGTACAACGGCATCATGGATTGTTTCTAGTTGCACCCGCTCGATGAAGCACACGTTAACGAGCATGACTAAAACCGGCTTGTTCAGTGCGCGACTCCCTCCACCATGTGAGGTTGAGAAGGCATGGCCAGAAATGTGTTGAACATGCCTGGGGAACTGGAAGCTTTTGCCCCGATAGCAGTTGCATTAAGTAACTCCTTTGAACTATTTGTGCGGCGAAGCTTCTGACGCTGACTGGGCAACTGAGACTTTCCGCTTGCAGCAGAAGCAGGGACCGCACGAGCTCATCCCTTCACTCCCGTCATTCGTGCTGTACTCGAAGCAGCCTTCCGACCCAACCGAAGCACACCACGCAGCATCCTGGCCAGTCTGGTACGAGTGACATTGCCACTGCGCGTCGGGATCTGGCTCACATTGCGGCGTGGCTGCCGTACAGAAGGGACTCAGCCACAAATCTATGGCAAATTCCGCACCGGATGCTATGGTCTCATGTTCCGACCACAAGCTGCGATTCACCATCCATTCTCGGCATGGCTCCGAGCCGGACTTCGTGGGCACGATGTCGAAGGTCCTGTGACGTTCATCGAAGGTCGGAACATTGTACAAGAGCTCCCGAACAGGGTGGGCTCCGTAAGACTTGGACCAATCATTCGTGGGAGTAAAGCGGGCACGGATAAACTTGCTTAGTGTGATGTTGGATGCCCAGGTGTACGAACTTATCAGCGTCATATGCCCTTCGTCCGAACCGCCCCAATCATTCAATTCACCGCGCAGGAACATTCGGTCATGCCAGCTCACATGGCAGCGTCTGCCTGTGGAGGCCAGGCAGTCACCTACAATGAAACCTGCACTGAGTTGAGAAAAATATTGGACCAGGACCGGCACGTCCAGCTGTGCTTCCCAGGCGGTGGTCGAAGCATATGGCCTCCACTCCGACCAATTCCCACCCACGTTCTGGGCCCGAAACAGGGTGGACCCGACAGCATTGTGACAGAGCTCCCTCCCAAAGTTGCAGATGAGGCCAGGCTGCTCGTGGATTGTCTTGGATATTGCACCTTGCTGTCGGTCCAACAAGAAGAAAGACTCGAAGGAGGCATGGAGCTGCATTCCGTCTGTGGTTGCTGAACCCGCGCGAACCTCCAGAGTGTGATGACCATCCGACAACGACGTCATGGCTACTTCTCGCGTGCAGGTATTCCCTGTGCATGTAAACCCTCCCGAAGTGTTGTCGAGGAGTACGTTGGAGACCATGGAGGAGTCAACGGTGCGATCAAAACGCAGCGTGATTGTTAGGTTGCTCTCCTCGGTGTCAATTGTGGAACCATGTCGAGGCGAGACCTCGGTAACCGAAGGAGGAACTGCCGCCACATTTTCAACGAAAGCCAGAGCCTGCAATGGACCTAGTGAGACGGAGACGCTTCCCGAGGAAACAAGGACTTCTGCCGGCCCCTCGTTTTGGTTCACAATGCAATCCGTCAGTCGAGTGCCGGAGGCCCACGGAAGCGCATCAATGGATGCAGATCTGTTCTCTGTGGTGTGGAAGTTTGCGAATACCAAGACCTTGCTGGAAGCATTGCAGCCACGCAGAAAGACAAGCACATCTGGGGTCGCGTATGAAGGGTACTGGAGTTCGTCGCACTCTTCAGCTCCGAAATTGCCGAAGTAGGCTCGTCTCAGGGCACTGAGCCGGCCGATGTACAAGTAGGTTGGATGGGTCATGTCGAAATTGTCTCCATCTGCTGGATTGCCAGATTCCTGCGTGCGGACTGCTCGCCAAGCCAAGGATGTACTTAGCTCTTCTCGGGCCCATCCGTCGAGAGCACTGCCAGGAGTGTCAAAGTCTTGCTCGTCGCCTGCGTAGTGAAGAGGAACACCTGGCCAGAAGGTAATGACTGCAAGACACATCACGAAGTGTGGCTTGCCAGTCATACTCTGCAGCCGCCAGTTGTCGTGATTGTTACAAAACGTCCACATCGAGTACTCGTGACGATTGGTTGTTGGATCATATGTGTCAATCATCTTGTTCTCTTCGACATATGCCAACGGAAGACCATCTGCATACTCTGGGCGCTGGTACACCATCGCAGTAAAGACATACCAGTAGTACGGGTAGACAATACCGCCTTTCAGCGTCGCTATGTCGTCAATAAACCGATCCTGGCCGTACATCGAATTGTCGCGACCTCGACCGGTCATGGTAGCATAGCGCTCTGCGCTCACGAAGAACTCCCCAAAGATCCCAAAGCGATCTTTGCCGAGCGTCTTCGCATGAGCTCTCATTGCTGGTGCCCAAGCTTTGTAAAAGTTCAAGGGCACCTGCATTGGGGTGTCCACACGGTACCCATCCACATCAGCGGTCTCGATCAAGGCCTTGGTCATTGCTATGTACTTCTGCTGGACACGGTCCTGCTCCAGGCGCAAGTCATCCATAACACCGTAGATTTTACCAAGGTTAATCTCCCAAGGATCGTGGTAGTCGATCAGATCTCCGTTGTGATGAAAATCTGATTCAATGTATGTGCCATAGCCCGTGTCCGTTGCATTCTCGCCCCATTGACCGTAGAGGGTCCCGTTGTACTGCGCAGCCGGATCCCACGCGTTGCTGTACCAGAAGTCAGCATATGGTTGGCGTCCAGCAGGTGTGTGATACAAGCCATCCTTGTCTCTCTCAGCCTTGGTCCTTTTCTGAAAAATTTTGGAAGCATCACCATCCCCGAACGGAGTTTGATCAGCTTCTGCACATGTTCCGAAGCCAGCACAATGGAAGCGTGTGTTTGCGGCAGGGTCGTCCTTCCAAAGGTAGAACTGACAAGATGCATCGGAAGCACAAGCGGCTTCGCAAGTGTCCTGGTTTACAAGCAGACCGGTTGCTTCGTGCCCGTATTCTTGCCACAAGTGGCTTCCACACCAAACATCTGCTGCTTCTTGAACGGCTTTTACGGGCCAAACCCACTTCTTGTAGACATGTGCCTGACCATCAGTGTAGGGGGTTGGAGAGCTGCAAGAGTTGAAGCCGGCACAATGATACGTGCTCAAGGAGCCCGGATCGTTTTTGTAGAGGAAATAGAAGCAATCGGGGTCTGATTGACATCTGTCCTCGCAGGCGTCCATGTTGAGGAGGATGCCTGTGGGCTCGTTTCCGAAGGATTGCCAGAGCGCATCGCCGTCGCACCACACCATGCCGTGAAAGTAAGAGGCCTGCTGGCTCAACACTGAAATTTGCACTACGCAGCTAGAGACATGGAATCCTGATGGAATTTGGTGCATGCCGTCTGTGCCTGGGTAGCTCGCGGTTTCAGTTTGTACTCACGCTTGCCCCCATCCTCATGGAATCGCCACGTGGCCTGGCTCATCGCGTGGCCCTCGAAATAGAAGTCGTTTGCCTAACAGCACGGCACGGCAGGCGCTGAAAACCACGAGGCCTGATGCCCCGGGGTCCCTATCAGACAACTCGACAGGATGGCAAGGTCGATTCTTGCTCTCTGACTCTCTCTGCAATAACAGCATGAACTGACCACTATGCCAAAATTCGCGACAAGCCACCATGTGGTTCATCACCTTAGATACAGGAGCATGAAAATTGCATGCCCGCATCCCGAAACCTAGATATGCAGACATGGGATGCTTCCTTCTTCCAAGGAGCAACGTCAATAATGACATACATGTCGAGGGCATGGGCTTCGTTCACAAGGTTGCGGAGGTCTTCAAGAGTTCCCATCCGCCTGTCTAGGACCGTGAAATCAATCTGCGCATACTGGTGGTAGAAGTTGTAGCCGTTCCTGCAGGTACGCATCGACACTCTGAAAGGACCATTCGCACTACCCCGAGGCATGTGGGGAGCAGCATGAGAGACATGAGAAACAGAGCACTTTGATCAGGCCCGGCTGTACTGCCTCAATGTGACAAGCGTGTGCGGGCCTGGCAAGATTTGCATTTACTTTACTACTTGCAGCGTTTTTTCAAGCTCAAGGCGTCACACCCACCTTCATCTCCCGCCGCTCACCCCCGCGCCCCGCCCTCCCCCCACTGATACTATTATTCAGCTAGGGTGATCTACCTGGTGATCTGCCTACCGAGCCTTGCTCGTCCTGCAGGAGTCTATGCAGGTACATCGTGACATACACCCCCCCTGATATTCACAAGAAGAATCTGAAACCCTATCCTTCGTCATATCTTTCTCGTCCGCTGCCCCACCATGTCGCCACGACTAAGCGCCTAGCTTCATGCCTAGCGAGCCTAGCTACGTCCACCAAGAAGATCGCCCCAGAAGGAAGAACCCTGTCTAGATCGTCGAGTCGAGGTGGCACAACGACAGCAATGACTCACTACCAGCACAATTCCAACACCACGATTGGCCCATGCTGCCGGGAGTCTGAAATATGGGTGAAATCCAGACAGCATTGCACCCGAGGCCCTTGATATAGTTCAACTTCTTCGTTAACCCGGCGAAATCGCCGCCATGTCGAAATGTCATATCCTCGACAAGGTAAGGCAGAAAAAAAAAGCGAAGCATGTTTGTATGGGATCAAAACAGCACGTGCATGCCATGTTTCCCTGACATCGAAACCTCCGGCAAAAAGCTCGTTGTTGTGTGGGTCGCCGTCTGCGAAACGATCCGTAATCAACCTTCAGCTCTCAAGCGTTCCGTTGTCCAGGACACGTCTGCATTATAACAGTATAAGCAAAGTCACTGGTAAATGACGAGACTGCGCCAGTCCGGCGGCGAAGGGAAATAATTGTGGGATGGCCATTGCCCCCAGTAGTGCATCGGCTCATGGCTTGCTTGGAAGTTGATGTTCCACGCCGCATTCTCCTGCACAGTGTCCCTTCGCCAGAACATCTTGGGCTGGGGTTCGCTCGTCGCTTAGCAATGTGTATGTTACATGTTGTCCTCTGTCCAGGGTTCACCCGCTGCTCGCGGCCAAAGCAGCAAAGAGATCCAGAGTATCATGGACGCCTCTCAGGCGTTTTATCAAGCTTTATCTGACAAGACACCACCGGACATAGCCGTGAAACGCAGTGTCAAGGCCGCAAGGCCTGTCCAACTGTGCAAACCATTGCGACCGACCAAAGCTGTGAGCCGGCGGCAGCGTTAAGCAAGCAGTCTGACTTGCAGTGCGAGTTCATCGAATGACATCTTATTGGGATTCGCGAAAGTTGCAGCTGGGCGCCACGCGATGTCTACAAGGGCTGGACCGATGAATTGGCTTTGTAACGATCCGCGCTTGCTGCAAGCATCTTTGCGCTTGCGAGTGCACACTCACACACCACGCTTTGGGCAAAAAGGCGGCCCCAGGAGGCATGATTGCACTGTCATGTCTCCAGCAGGTCCAGGTCTGCAGTGGTCATGCACATAGCACACACGTAGGAACAGCAGTGCCTGAATCGCATGTCGCCGGTGGGGTCACTCCACCACACGTGACACCTGGGACGGACAACTGCACAATTGCATGCAAAACAAAACGAGAGCAAAACACGAGTGAAGAACAATCGCATGCGCATATCTACCAAGATTTTCAGCCGGACTTCTTTTCAACTGGCTCAGCTGATTAAGTCACTGCTACCAGCTTCTATGCGCAGGGGCAGCTGCTGGAACCTCAGAGATGCGCGAGCTGACGTCCTTACAGCTACTGCAATCTCGACCCCACATGGCCGTAAGGACTCGACGCTTTACTGCCTCGCGTGCTTGAGCTTTAGGATGGAATCGAAGAAATACCGTCTTCCTACTATCAAAGAAGTCTGCTTGGCCTCCCTTGTCGCTCTCTGCAGGAAGCCTGAGAAGATTGGCAGGCACAGTTCAATCACTTCTGCCAACCTGGACTGTCGAGCTGCCTGCAGGTGCTGGTGCGGGAGCAGCAGCTGGACCAGCTGCCAGTGTAGGTGGCATTGGCCAATCTGGGCAAATTGCTGGAGTCCGATATGGCACCCCCCCCCCAACCACCTCTGCAATCTCCCTCTTAAGACTCGGTATTTACGGTACGTTCGTCATGTCATACCACTTAATCTTGCTTCCAAATCCACTCCGCGACTTTGAGAAATTCGGCTTCGGATTTGGGTGGGAGGGGGGGCGGGTGCGGAGGGGGGGGGGGGTATGTGGGGGGAGGGGGATGACGACGAGATTGTTACGCAGACACCCCGTTTTACTCAGTATTTACAGTACTCTTACATGACAATGATGGATGATGATGATGGATGATGGTCATGATGGATGATGATGATGAGGCATGATGGTGGTGGGTTGAACCGAAGAATTTGGACCGGTAACATCTCGAACCTCGGGTGATTTTCACCATTGACAGCATCGTCGTCGTGCTACCTCATCATCATGGGCATCAACGGCACCATTCTCTTCGTCACCCCCTCGTCTACAGAGGCCACATCAGATAGCATCAGCGTCCGCCTCAAAAAAACATCATGAACATCCTCAAGCACCCCACGATCGTCACACCAAAATGAACGTCGTCACAGTCACCGCCGCAATCAAAGCATTAATGATCATCGCCATCTTCATCATCGGCATGATGATAAGCGTCATCATCGGCACCGTTGTCCGCGTGATTGCATCATTCCGGCTTATTCCAAGCCTCATCGTCGTTGACATCGCTGCCAACAGACATCATTATCAGCATCTTCAGCAGCGGCCGTACTATCACGCACATTCATGCCAAATGCAACAATAAGGTCAACCTCCAAATAAGCAACATCAACATCAACAACTAGCTGATCTGCATGGTAACCATCAGCACATTCGTCACCAGTACTATCGCAGGCTTAATCTTCTTACTCATCCTACTGATCCTGTTTCATCTTGATCATCCCAATCGTCCGAAGCATCAGAATCGTCACTACCTTGGTGGCTTCGCGTTCGCTGCGCATGTCCAACGCCTAACCCTGGCAAATCTGCAGGACTGGCAAGGTTGCCGCCCTCATAAGTCGTACATAGTACATCCTGACAGAGCACGCACACCGTAGTTAAGCTATGCGACTTAATAAGTAAGTGGAATCTGGCAAAAGGCAAACTAATAGCAAGCAACACTGCCCAAGAACTCAAACCCCAGCATTCATGGTGAGATCGTTTGTGGCATCGCCAGTCGACAGAGCAAAACCGACGGATTGTCTCCAACAGTGGCTCTGCACCTGTTGTCCATGCGGAGGAAGGGGTTGCGATGTTTGGCATGTATCTGTGGTGGGTAGGTCGTGGCTGTCGCGATGCAATCCCGCGCGAATATACATTCACCAGCAGCCAGGCTGAGGCCACCACAGCAGAAGCCCAACCACGTCACGAAATAAGTAATGATTACGTAGTTAGTGCACCACGACATTTGCATCGTCAAGCTACTTATCTGTGAAACACAGTTGAGCTTGACCATTCCAATGTACCCGCAATATCGCTCAATGGCGAAGTTCGAGTGGTTAGTTGGTATAGAGCTTCCCTGAGGCCCTGCCCGGCATGATTTGCGATGCTTCGCAGAGCGATGTGGACGTGCTGCCATCCAGCTTATGCGATGCTTCGCAGAGCGATGTGGACGTGCTGCCATCCAGCTTACCTGAACAACCGAACACCTGCAGCGTCATTTCCAGCTTGACTGAACGAGTATGCACGCGGGGCTTCGACCAGATATCTTGGCTTTGATCGCTTGGCAGTTGATGCTAACATGCATATGACATCGAGCAGCCGACCAATGCACCGGCATCTGCAAGCCCCTCACGTGACCAATGCTGGGTTCCCCCGACCCCGCAGCACGAATCCCACTACAACAGCTGTCTCTTTTCAGTCACGACATAGGGCTTTCCATGCCAGGAAGGGTAGATGAATGCTGTAGTGCACTTTCCTTGGCTCACGCTGCGGAGTGACTCTAGACTCTAGAGGTGTCTGCTTCATACGATGGAGGCCGCAAGCATTCTCCAAGCAGTAGAACGAAGGAGCGCGGAGGGACTTGAGGGATTGTGAAGTGCCAGCGCTCCCGATAGGGGAGCCCCATGGAACGCATGGAACTTGTGTATGGCATCATTGATGAGCTCGAAGATGCCGCTTGATAGCTCAGCCCTTGCCCTGGGCAGGCTATTTCTCCGGGTTGTGCAACAGACTCGTCTCGAACTGCGATTCTCCACAAATCCTCGTTGAGGACCATCTCCAGCTTCGTTTCCATTGCCGAAAGTATACCGAAAAGGTGAGCGTCAAACGGCGCAGCAACCCTCACGCTTTGGTTCCTGCTTTTCTTGGTCTTCCAGTCTTGACGAATATTGCAGGGCTCTGCGGGCGATTCCCAATCCGTGATGTCCAAGATGTGTCGGAGAGCATCTTCGGTGTCCTTGTGCCATGTTGTTGACCTGGCTAACATGCGCCATCTTTTCCGTCTACCTCGACTGGAGCACTGTGCTGCTCCAGAAGTGCGCGTGCAAGGCCCTCAACCCTCGCATCTTAGACTCCAGTCATCTGGTGGAGTAGATTGGCTGCAGTGTTTTTTTTTTTTTGCGGCCCTCCGTCCGAAAGGCGTTGTTCCGCACGTCGGAAAACCGATCGATGGTCCACGACATATTTCCCAAAATGGAGGAGCAGAAATGCCTGGTTTGCTATCAACAGCTATCCATGGGATCCGAGGAGCGAGCACGAAAGTCGTCGTACAAGAGGGGGTGATGCTCGGTAGGAGCAGCGGCGTGTGGGGAAGTTCGGGCCGAGATGCTTCATCCTCCGCCTTATTAGTATTATCACCATCATCATCACCATCATCGTCTTCGTCATTGACCAAAAACATCGTCAAGCAGCGACCTGTGTCTCAAATGCCTCGGTGGGCTTCATCCATGTCTGCTGCTTCAAAATCATGGCAACCACCCTCAATCAACACTCGGTCCAGCACCACTCTTCTTCACAGGCAAACGATCAACTGATGAACCAATCCCATCCCTAATTGACTGGAAGTCCATCCTGTCATGTCGCAACGCCCACAACAACGGTCCCTCCATGCTGTGGGAAGATGCCAGCTTGCTCAGACAGTGGCTTTGCAGCGTGTGTCGGATTGCCTGCCCCAAAACTGCACGACGTCTTGTGCCAGGCATGGCAAATGCTGAAGTCCCGATACAGAATTCAGGTGGCATAAAGCCTGCCTCGGCCTGCACCTGAGAAGGCACCACGGGTGCTGGCAAGAACCTGCAGCAACCAAAGACTCTTTGCAGTACCACTACAAGCAATCACACGTAGTTTGCCGCACGGCCCACCTCGGCATGAGATCGTTTGCTGTCGGCGCTGCCTTGCCAGATGCAGCCACCATTGGCAGTGATCACAAGGAGCCAAGCAAGGCAGGCCGGAACAGCAGCCGAAGGATATGCCATGGGCAACCTTGAGAGCACTTCTTACAGCAGCACAAACTGAGCACTCTGCGGTGTCACGGTGCGGTTCACCATGGCAGCCACGCTGGGAGGCACTGTGTACCAAGACTTGGTATTTTCGCCTGCCGTAACGAGAACAACTGACAGCGAAGAACTTATCAGAACCGCCCGCCTTCCATGCTCTGCAGTGGGATGTCCTGAAACACGGTTTCAGCAGCGTGTTCACTGCACCTGACCCGCTCAATGTCCTCAGGCCCGACGTTTGGAACAGGAGGAAGTGAGGGAATAGCTGGTGGAGGCGGCGGCGGTGGTGGGCCTGGAAACGAGAGATTGGCACCAGACCCGCTTTAGAGAAGCCTCATACCCCCCGCACATGGGCCGGCGCCCGAGGCTGGCAATGGCACAGCCGGAGGCACCTGTGAAGGCTCGGAAAACGAGATCCGATGCCCCGACATGCCCGTAGCTGAAGACATGTTCCACATATCTATGCTGCCTCGATGTCAGGCAATGGAGGGGGCGTGAAGCCAACTGCCTGCATGTTCGGTCGTGTTGCCATGTTCACGGCCAGAGGTGGGACGCTAACTCTGCCAGGTGTATTGAGTGTCTTGGCATCTGACCATCGGAACCTGTTTTCCCACTTGTGTCAAAGAGAGTCCTGCCTGATGAGAATCACACTGTAAAGTTAGTTCCGACCAGCGATGCAACTTGAACTACCTGGTGGGCATCTCGAGCACTCGAGTCAGCTGCATTCCTGAGAAATATGGCGAAGCAAAAGGGAGGCGTCGAGCTGCGAGCTGCCATCACTGCAATTGAAGTGCTATCAAGGCTCTGTGCGCAGGGGCACTCGGGTGAGTCAGCGCTCAGCAATTTCGTTGCCTGCTGTAGCGACGGGCACACCGTGCGCAACGACTGGGCAGTTAGTTCTTTGGCGACATGCTAGAACCAGAATAAGCCAGACAAGCAGCAGCAGAGGCGGAAGCAGCAGCAGCAGCAGCAGCAGCTGCAATACAAATGCACAATGTGTCTCGTTTTCACCCGATTCTTGCAGCATGTGTTGTGTCACTGCCAGTTGGACAATACAGAGTCAGCCGACTTTCCGACCGCTCAACGGCGCAGTTCTTGTGCAGCAAGATCAGAGTCGGGCCCTGCCTGTCCTCCGCATGAACGCAATCGCACAGCGCTTCCACGCTTGCGCCACATGGTGCCATTGTCAGCCACAAGCGGCAAGAAGTCATGTTTAGAATACTTAAGTGCAATGCTTCGGTTGCGGCCCCTGCAGATCTAGTCCGGCATTGCTTTGCCAGACGCTGTCGCAAGGGTGGCACATCCAGGCCAACAGAACGAATCGTGCTTGGTCCCCGAGGTGGCGTACTCCGTGAAAGTATGTGTCGTCAAAAACGACTGCCTGCCCCTCTGACCAGGTTACTGTTTCATTTGCCACCCACATTTCTGGACCAGGCGGTGTGATGAGGCCAAGGTGAACAGCAAGCCGGGGTTCAGTGGCGAAGTGAGGCTTAATCTCCGTGCCTGGGAGCAGGCGTGCAAAGGCGACGCCGGCATTGGGCATCCGTTCGGAGAAGCAGTGCGAGTTTATCTCTGGGCGAGCTTCAAGCAGGCCACAGCTGCGAGGAGCATATGGGCAAGCCGCCGTGGCCTTGCCATGTCGAACAAGATCCAGCAAGCCCCACTCCCTCGGAAGAGGAGTAAATTCAGTTTGCTGCTCTTGGACAGTACGAAAAATCTCGTCATACTCCGAGTCGGCAAGGACCAACTGGTACAGCTCGGATCGAAAAACATCGGCATGCTGCTCCAAGAAATGGGCAAAGGAGGGCCAAGCCTCGCGGGGCCAAACTGGCCAGTGCTTCGCGTGTGGAAGATAATCATCGTTATGGTTGACTCTGTACGGACCCTGGCCAGGGAGAAGGCTTCGGTGCCCAGCGAAGAATGGAAGATCCCGCATGATGTCAAGCTGTTCTTCAGCCTGTCGCAAGTACATCGAAGCACCTTTGATGTCTCTTTCAGTGGCCAACTGTTTGCCCAGCTCCACTTGCAGAAGCAAGACGAACCTCCAGCGCCAGGCACACTTTCGCTTCTCAAAGTCTTCTTGCCCTGTGCTGGGCAAGGAGCATCCACCTTCCAGAAGACTTGCTCTGTGCAGCTGAAGGGAGAGGGCGGCTATGTCAGTGTTCGGTCCAAAGCTTCGACTCGAAACCTCCTCGGCCTCTGGAAAACTCACACCCCACCAAAAATACAGAAAAAGCATCTGGCCCAGCCCAATGGCCAACTTGAACCGAGACTCGTGCGACAGGCTGTACTCGGCCAAGGCCCTCAACCGACTCAGTGTTGCGGCACGCAAGGCCGCATCGTCTGCAAGTCGAGGCGGCTCCTTGCGTGTATACAACTCCTTCATCCAGCTGCCCAAAAGGCCAAAGCTAAGTTCCTCCTCGCTGGTAGCACCGCTGCGTTGGTTGGTAGCCCACAGCTCCGCGGCACACTGGGGCAGAGCTTCGATACAAGCATGAAGTTGGTCAAGCTGTGCCTTACTGCACCAAACTGCAAAAGCCGAAGGGTAAGCTTGTCAAAGAAGTGCAGCCAGCACCGTGACAGAAGGGCGTTAAGATCTGGTGCTCCGCTGGTGCCTTCTCAGCCTATGTCATGCGCTGCCTCAACACGAAAAATTATGCAGGCTCTGGAATGAACCACGAGAAGGGCGAAAGAATCTTATTTGAAGTCCTAAGTCCTAAGACTTGACTTGCGCCAATCGTTGAGATCGTTGAGGCAATGCCACCGAAGTCTGCTTCGGTTCGGTTCAATGCCACGTCTCTGAAAACCGCTCGGTTGAGGCAAGGTGCAGCCGCGAAGAAGTGCGAGGAAATCACCGCGCTGAGTAGAGTAAACATCGTGACCTCCATCTGCACCAAGCCGAGCCGAGCACTCTGTCAAGGCCATGGCTTTGGAAATCTTCGAGCCACTACAGGCAGGGGAGCAACAATCCGTTCTGAGCTGCCAACATGACGAGGCAACCCCAAGTTCCATCGTCTATGGCACCAGCCTCCCTTTGCCCCACCCCCACCCCCTGTTGCAGGCACGCAAGAATCAATTCAGGCTGATCGCGATGGCCTACACCTATCGAGGTTCGCGACGCGCGGTAGGATGCATCGAGGTTGTGTTGGGCGATGTTGAACAGTTGGGCCACGTAGGCTTCCGACACATTGTATCTTGACTTGTGCCCATAGGGCTTTTACAGGGTTGGCAGGTTGAACCCAAGGAGAACCAATCCGAAAGCTTAGCGGCTTAGCATCGCTCGCGGAGAAGAAAGTCCGCCGACCGGGGTTGGCCTTAGAGCGACAAAACCCAGACGAGCGTGCCGGGCCATTATGGCCGCCCTGGCCGCCAGTACCCAACCTCCATTCGGAGGCTGATTGGCGCTTACGTGCCGTCACGGTCGTGAAGGATTGCAATCGATCACGTATCGAAAGGAGGGCGCTATCGTGCGCAAGCTACTGCACCACCCAATGGATAGCATTCGTTCGAAGAAGTGGAGACAAGCAATTGAATTGCACGCTGTCGTCCATTGACACTTTCTGGGCCTGCACCAATGGAGCCAGCAGCAGAAGCAACGATGCTAGACTCATGACAAAGCCACCAGTCCTGGGAGATGGCAAGCTTCCACACTGACACATGTTCCTGTGCTTGTTGCAATTGAAGCTGAGGCACGGGCACCGGAGCAGTGCTCAGATGATCCGGATGGGCTCTTACAGGATCCAAGCCGAAATGCCCCATGCGAGAAAGAGAAGTCTTGACACGGCTTGGCTTCTGGCAAGACAATCCACCCCTGACTTTGAAATTGCTCTCCCTTTGCGAATTCGGGCAATGCTCCGCAGGTACAGTACTTGCAGTTTAGCGCAGCTCAGGACTGGAGCATATGGATCTACATGTCTGAAGGCTTCCACAACCCGTAGACATCATGTCTGCACCCACATGCCTGCTTGCAGGCTGCACGAGATGCTAGTCCAGTGTGTCCAGCGCTTCGTGGCAACACATGTAGGCTTTAAGCGGCAACTACCTTTGGCAATTCGGCATGAAGCACGGGAAGTAGCTGGCACAGTCCATCATGGGCCGTCTGGGTCTGCTGCGGCATCGGGCCCTGGACTGGCCCTATGTTGAAGGAGAACACAACACGCCTGGCGGCTGTCATCCGCCGAGAAATGGAACAAGCACGGAGTCCAATGCTCAAAGGCTAGAGCTGTCAGCTGACTTGAACTACATGTGGTGAGCTCTGACTCTTCACGTTGTGCTTCTAAGCGTGCACGCCGCACAATGGCGGGCTTTCTCCGGAAGTGGGGTTTGTCCTTGCGGAAGCAAAGATGCCTCTCTCGACTGGAGAAAGTTCAGCGACTCATCAGTACGACTCAGGATACCTCTGAGAAGGCGACTGTGGAGCTGTCACTGTGGCCATGTGACTGAGCCAGGACCTTTCCACATCGCACATGTGTGTCAGAGACTGCGCTGCACCTTGAGATAACGTTGAAGTGGAAGCCAGGGAATGGGAACAGCGTGTGGAAAACAGGATAGGGCTGCTACATGATTGCTGGAACAGAGGCAGAGAAAGGCTGATCTTGCAGCGAAAGATATGCTGAAGCAACTGTTGAAAACGTTGCTGTGTCGGTCGCCAGCTTTGGTTACTTGTTCTTCCGTTTAGCTTCTTCTCAGCTTTGTGTTGGCTGACGTTCCATTTTGTTTGAGCCTACAGGCCCTGCCTCCCCCCGTCCACCCCTCTGAGACTTGACTGGACCCTCAGGAGATCCAAGTCGTCTCGAGCCTCTTGATCTGCACCGAAAATGGCAAAAACTCTAGGAAGTAAACACCAGTTTTTCAAGCCGATAACCATATTTCCCCTGAAGAAAGGAAATGGTGCACAATGCAGTGCATGCAGAGTACATGCATCCGGAGAATCGTTTTCAGGAGCGTTCACCCAGCACTAGTCCGGTAC